GCAGAGAGCTGGACTGGAAGAGGAGCAACCAGGACTAGAACCCGGCACCCATATGGGATGCCAGTGCCGCAGGCAGAGGATTAACCAAGTGAGCCACGGCGCTGGCCCTGTAGTTTATTTTTAAAAACTTACTTGAGAACAGTCACCAGCAAAATTGGGATTTGACTATAAAGACTTAGAGTAATATGGAGTTGAATAACTACATGTTTTATGTTTTCATTCATCATTTCTTTGTAGCTGCTGCTATAGCTTTGTAGGGGAAGAAAGTGTGGCTTTTTTTTTTTTTTAAGCTGAACATTGGGTCAACAAATAATCTATTATGAAAATGTCCACTTTGAAGAAGTGTCAGATCTTTGTAATTAGGTGTGTATTTTGAGAAGCCATATTCCATGTTGTTTTATGTCAAAAATGAAAAAATTATTTTACAGACATTAGAAAATTAAGGTAGGCAGCCTTTTTTTTTGGTTACGGAGGTTAAATAGAATATGTGATTCTGTGGAGCTGCTGTTTTAGGGACTCTTAATTTGTTATGTTTATAAAAAACATAGGTTTTAAAAAGACAGGTTGAGAAACACTGTTTTTGTCAAGAACTAAGAATTTAATACACAGTTATTCTTAAGTGTTAAAAATTAACTGAAATGTGATCCCTGTTAAACATAAGAGTGGGAATAAGAGAGGGAAGAGATGTATAATTTGGGACATGCTCAAGCTGACTTGCCCCAAATGGTAGAGTTAAAAACATACCAGGGGATTCCAATTCAATCCCATCAAGGTGGCATGTACCAATGCCATCTCACTAGTCCAAGTGATCAATTTGAGTTCACAATTGATCATAATGAAAGGACTAAGAGTCAAAGGGAGCACATAAACAAGTCTAGTACCTGCTAACACTAACCGATGGAATAAATAAAGGGGAGAGTGATCCAACATGGGAAGTGAGATACTCAGCAGACTCATAGAATGGCAGATGTCCTAAATAGCACTCTGGCCTCAGAATCAGCCCTAAAGGCACTCGGATCTGGCTGAAAAGCCCATGAGAGTATTTCAGGCATGGAAAGCCAAGACACTCTGGCAAAAGATCTCTGCGAGTGAGATCCCAGTGGAAAGAACAGGTCTTCAAAGAAGGAGGTACCTTTCTCTGAAGGGAGGAGAGAACCTCCACTTTGACTATGACCTTGTCTAAACAAGATAAGAATCGGAGAACTCAGAGGGCTTCCATAGCCTTGGAAACTCATGACCGGAGCATAGGGAGACTACTGATGCCATAGACAGGAGTGTCAATTGGTAAAGTCAACAACAAGAGTCACTGTGCACTTACTCCTCATGTAGGATCTCTGTCCTTGATGTGCTGTGTATTGAGATTTAATGCTATAACGAGTACTCAAACAATATATTTCACTTTGTGTTTTTATGGGGGTGCAAACTGTTGAAATCTTTACTTAATGTATACTAAACTGATCCTCTGTTAAAAAAAAAAAGAAAGAAAGAAAGAAATTATCAACTCCCAACTCGACTCTCACTGGGATTAAACATGACAATAGGTCTGATCTGATTTCATCATCATTTTAAAAAAAAATCATCTATTATTTCTCACTTTATGTTTCTGTGTGAGAGCAAACTGTTGAAATCCTTACTTAATGTATACTAAGCTGATCTTCTGTATATTAAGATAATCGAAAATGAATCTTGATGTGAATGGAAGGGGAGAGGGAGTGGGAAAGGGGAGGGTAGTGGGTGGGAGGGACGGTATGTGGGGGAAGCCATTGTAATCCATAAATCGTACTTTGGAAATTTATATTCATTAAATAAAAGTTAAAAAAAACATTAAGCCCATTAAAGTTAATGTGTTACCACAGGGAAAAAAAAAAGAATTAAGGTTTAATTGATGTGGAAATAAATCTGTGAATTGTGTTAATCAAATTATGTGACATTGGATTTATTTGATTAATTTGCAAAACATCTGTTTTAGCTGTATATTGTGATGCTATCTGTAATTGAAATGGTCATTTTATGCTATAATTCTAATGATTTTCCAAAATTACAGTTTAGAAAAGCCAGTGATGCCTGTTTAATTGAAGAGCTTTTTCTTCTTTAACAGTAGCTTTAAAAATGTAGATATAGATACATTGAAAATATTCTTTTTAAGTTCTTAAAAACATTTATTTGAAAGAGTTAAAGGGAGACACACAGCACCCACCCCAGAGGTTTGACAGAGAAAGAGAGATCTTCCACCAACTGTTTCACTTCCCAGATGGCCAGGCAATGTTCAGGGATGAGCTAAATGGAAAACAGGAGCTTCATCCAAGTCTCACACATGGGTGGCAGGAGCCGGTTTCAAACACTTGGGCCGTCTCCCACAGCTTTCCCCTGGCCATTAACAGGGAACTAGATCAAAAGTAGAGCAGCCGGGATACAAACCAGAGCCCATATGGGATGCTGGTGCCACAGACAGCAGCTTTACCTGTTAAGCCACAGTGCTGGTCCCTGAAAATATTCTTGATATTATGATTCACCTGATAGCTTGAAGTAAACAATAAAGAGAATTACAAAAATCAGTTTTAATTAAGGCATTGATTTTTTTTTTCCAAGTACATCTAGAGGCTTGTAACAGTTGAAATGTTTGAACACTTTTTTGAAGATCAGATCAACTACATATAGTCTTATAAGCTGATTATTTGATAAAATAAAAATCAATAATTATTTTACTTTATGTTTGAAGCTTATGAGCTTTTGGGAAGAGAAGGAGGAATTACTAATACTCAGGAAATAGTTTTTTAGATTGATGTCTGTCTTGACGATTACCATTTTTTTTTAATGATTACCATTTTTAAGGTACTAAAATGTTACAGAAAATACATAGTCATGAAAAGTAAAAGCCACAAATAAGTATATATTATAAATTTTATCATAAAATAGCAGTTGTATAACGATTCTCGCACCTTTCTTCTTCATCTCATGGTGACCTCACAAGATGGCGATCAAATAAAATCTTTTAATCCTGCCATTTTGTGCAAAACACAGCACAAATTTAACAAATATCAAGTATACAAAGAATAGGAACTTGCTTAAAAGTTTTTAATTTTGACTTTGTTAGATGCATACATCTGCTTGGGTTAGCTCCACATGTTTCATATTCTCAGGGTATCTCAGAGTCTCACAACCAAATAAAAACTAGTCTTGAATTTTAAAATTTTATTGGAAAATGTCATTAAATTTTAGTTCCTTATGGAACTTCACTGGTCTCTAAATTTTCAGATAAAATAAAAAACCCAGAAGCAAGTTAAATTTATTTGACACTCATCTCAAAGATAATGGTTCAACTGATGAGGATTTTAGAGGAATACTGTATTTATCATTCTTTCTCTTCTCCAATACTAATGGTTTTCCTATTAAGTTAAAATGAAGTTCCATGATTAAGTTTTTTATTTCTTATTTTCATTATTACATACAGACCTTTAAGTAGGCTGATTTTTTTAAAACATTTATTTATTTATTTGAAAGGCAGAGTTACACAGGGTGTAACTACTTCTATCTTTTTCCCCCTAGGTGGTATCATGGAAAGAGAGAGAAAAGGAAGGGAGGGGTGTCTTCCATCCACTGGTTCACTCGCCAGATGGCCGCAATGGCCTGAGCTGGGCTAATCTGAAGCCAGGAGCCTGGAGCTTCTTCCAGGTCTGCCACTCGGGTGCGGGGGCCCAAGCACTTAGGCCGCCTTCCACTGCTCTCCCAGCCCATAGCAGAGAGCTGGATTGGAAGTGGCACAGCCAGGATGCTGGCACTGCAGACCGGGGCTTTAACGCGCTGCGCCATGGTGCCAGCCCCTCAATAGGTTGATTTTTTTTTTTTTTTTTTTGATAGGCAGAGTTGGACAGTGAGAGAGAGAGGCAGAGAGAAATGTCTTCCTTTTTTCGTTGGTTCACCCCCCAAGTGGCTGCAATGCCGGCCGACCATTGTGGCCGGTGCGCTGAGCCCATCTGAAGCCAGGAGCCAGATGCTGCCTCTTGGTCTCCTATGCGGGTGCAGGGCCCAAGGACCTGGGCCATCCTGCACTGCCCTCCCTGGCCACAGCAGAGAGCTGGACTGGAAGAGGAGCAACCAGGACAGAATCTAGCTCTCCAATCGGGACTAGAACCTGGGGTGCTGGCACCACCGGCGGAGGATTAGCCTAGTGAGCCGCGGCACTGGCCAGTAGGTTGATTTTTTTAAGACAACCAAACATAATTCAAGATACTTTAAGTTTTTAATAAAGAAGGGAAAGAATAATAAGCTTTTTTCCAGCAAACTTACAGAATCAGCTATAGTCATATAATAGTGTTATCATTGGCTTATATTAATATATATTTAAGTCAACAATATATATATTTCTGAAGGTTTCATGTCAGAAACAAGTATCTTTAACTTTTGAGAAAGTATCAAAGCATAAAAATACTTCATAACAATTGCTTTGTAGATTTATTACCATCCTCATATGACATTGTCATTCTAAGTGTGCTTTTGTTTTTATTAGTTCCTGAGGCCTTTATAGGCATAGTTTGGTAGCATGGAATAAAACATTTTCTCCCAGGTTCCTTGTGCTTTGTTATGTCAAGTTTCGATTCCTTAATCTTTAGAATGGTAAAAAAATTAATCATTCATTTCCATTTATCCATGCTATTGTTATTTTTAAGTAAGGATGATTGGAGTAAGTATTTGTACTTTAAACAGATAGACAATCCTGGAAGTGGAGATGGGAGAAGTTCAGATATGAGTGGATTGGACAAAGGCTTTTACAACAAATTAAAAACTGAGTAAAAGGATAGTTTTGAAGACTGAGAAGTAGTTAAAATAATTGAGTTAAAACTGTAATAACTGAGAGTAAAATGTAACTGCTTAAATTACCTGTAGGCTTTTAAAACCTAGGAGTATGTTTTTCAACTACTTCTAATTATATGTTTTTCAGTCCACATAGTTAATTTTTTGAGCGCTATTTTTATTCTTATCTTTTATCTTTTTCCCCCTAGGTGGTATCATGGAAAACTTGATAGAACTATAGCAGAAGAACGCCTCAGGCAGGCGGGGAAGGCTGGCAGCTACCTTATAAGAGAGAGTGATCGGAGGCCTGGCTCCTTTGTACTTTCATTTCTTAGCCAGACAAACGTTGTCAATCATTTTAGGTAAGTCTTTATTCCTGTTTTAAGGCTGGACAGTTTAGCTATTTTGATGTAGTACTCATAAATTTACGTGCTTTCAAGGAAAGTAAATGATCCAGTGACATTTAAATAATAGAGAAACCTGTCTTCAAGTAAATAATTTTCATAATACTTTTAGATGGCAGAATAGGAAAATATAGGAAACACTATTTAAAAATAAAGGTTTGAACCTTTAATTCTTTTTATTATTCTTTTTTTTTTTTTTTTTTTGAAAGGCAGAGTTACAGAGAAGCAGGGGCAGAGGGAGAGAGAGAGAGGTCTTCCATCCACGAGTTCATTCTCCAAATGGCCACAATGGCTGGAGCTAGGCTAATCTGAAGCCAGGAGCCTGGAGCTTCCTCCAGGTCTCCCATTTGGGTGCAGGGCCACAAGGACTTGGGCCATCCTCCACTGCTTTCCCAGGCCATAGAAGAGAACTGGATCGGACCGGTGCCCGTGGGACTCTGGCACTGCAGGTGGTAGCTTTACCTGCTACACCACAGCACCTGCCCTGAGCCTTTAATTCTTAGATTCACTATTCTGAAACTTTGCAGTCACTTCAATGAATGGTCATGTTGATTTTCAAGTGTAGATAGTATAGTTTGAATATAAATATTTTTATATTTATCATATCCTAGTTCATTTTTATGGGACAAAGGAAGAAAACCATGTAGAACCTATATTGTTGATAAAGTATATACCTTTGATTTTTAGATTTTAAAATAAGCTTTAAGAGCATATCATATACTTACATATGTGTGAAATTGTTACATTTTGTGGATCTGTGATCTACTTTTGGCCAGAGAGAACTTACTTGAAATAGCTAATTCAATCTCAAATATGGAAAGTAAAGAGAGGTATCTGAGGCTGAATTTTTCAACCAATTGATTGCATTATATAGAGGTTTGTAGGTCTCATGAAGCATAATAAATACATACACAATTTAATATTGAATTTCTTATGTCATTAAATTCACATATAAAAGAAATAGTCTCATGTATTTTTGCCCATGATAAAGATATTGAGTACTACCTTAATATAGGAATATAGGTACAAAGGAAAAGATGGTGAATATTAATGGATTTATAATTTCTTGATGAAATTTAGTCTTAAACTGGCTTAAAGACTTTATGTAGTGATATGTTTTTTTTCCTGTCCAAATAGGATTATTGCCATGTGTGGAGATTACTACATTGGTGGAAGACGTTTTTCTTCACTGTCAGACCTAATAGGTTATTACAGTCATGTTTCTTGTTTACTTAAAGGAGAAAAATTACTTTATCCAGTTGCACCACCAGAGGCAAGTAAAACTTGGATGAAATATCTTTGAGAACTTTGTTTTTTCATTTTAATAATGGGTTTAGTGCTTATTAAATTTATTTGTTATGTTTATTGTAATTCAAGAAGTATGTATTGCATTAAATTCTTGTGGTTGTAATGTCACTTTAAACAAAGCTAGTAACATCTTTGAAAAAAGGAAAAGTAATTTTTATGTAATTTTGTATTTAAGTAGGCAGATTTTAAAAATATTAATACTGTGTAGTAATAGCCTACCAAATATATTTGAATGTCTGTGGAGTAATTACTGAGTTCATATGCTAATCCTGAAGATGCTGCAGAGAAAGGTTAATTTATGTATCCTATGTGGTTTATTTAAAATTAAATGTTCATTCATATTACCTGTTAAAAACATTCTGGTTATACTTTAAAAAGAATTTCTTTAACAACAAGCAGCAGGTATTTCTGGCCTCTGGGTATTTAGATGCTCAGTAAAAATTAATTTGAATGATGATTCCAGGGAGGTTATAAAATATTGGCTTTAACTTTGTGTGGACCTACTTCTTTCCACGTAAAGACAAAAAGACTATCCTTTGTAAATCTTTCTTTAATTGTTTTTTAATTGTTTCTAGCCAGTAGAAGATAGAAGGCGTGTGCGAGCCATTCTGCCTTACACAAAAGTACCAGACACTGATGAAATAAGGTATTTTATAGTATATTCTCATGTATAAGCATTGAAATAGGCAGTTGAAAGAGCTAGACTTTGAAGGATGTGTTAGTCTTAGAAATTCAGAAAATAGCCTCCAGGAAGGTAATCCTGGATCTGTTATTCTTACCATCCTGGGTTGGCTTATCTGTTCAGATTGTGAATAAAGATCTGTTGGAGAAATAGTTTAGCTTTTGTTACACTGCCTGTAAACCAAGTAAGGCAAGTTTTCTTCTACCTTTACTCATTTTAATTTGTATTACCAAGTGACAGTTATGCCACAGCTATAAATGATGCTGAGATGATAATTAGCCTTCTGTTTTACATAAGGGGTGGATAATTTTAAATGATAGAATATTATAGAATTATAGAATGTGATATCTTGTTTTTCGTTTATGTAATTTGATTTCTTATATAAATGATAGTCAAATTTTTATACTTTCTGTAAGCCATTTAATGTTGCCAGAATGTTTCTTACCTTAAATATGGAAGATTGCTTTTGAATAATGACTGATTCTCCTCCGCCTTGTGGCGCCGGCACACCGGGTTCTAGTCCCGGTCAGTCGGGGCGCCGGATTCTGTCCCGGTTGCCCCTCTTCCAGGCCAGCTCTCTGCTGTGGCCAGGGAATGCACTGGAGGATGGCCCAAGTACTTGGGCCCTGCACCCCATGGGAGACCAGGATAAGTACCTGGCTCCTGCCATCGGATCAGCGCGGTGCGCCGGCCACAGCACGCTGGCCACGGTGGCCATTGGAGGGTGAACGAACAGCAAAAGTAAGACCTTTCTCTCTGTCTCTCTCTCTCTCACTGTCCACTCTGCCTATCCAAAAAAAAAAGAACCAAAAAACACAGACAATTTACTGATTCTGAGTTGCTCTTTGAAATCACTGGGAGCATTCAAAATATAGTGGAAAATCTTACATTGCACTAAAAATTTCTGGAAATATGGTATTAAGAAAACAGGATAGGTATTTGATCTCTAATAGGAATTCCATTTGTATGTAGTTCTAAAAGTCTTGAGTTCTATTTAAACATACCTTTTGTCTTTTAAGTTGGAAAGACCATTAAAAGAAAGCAAAAAAATATATATCTAATAAATGAGAATGGTGGTGAACTAAAAATTCAGGAATTGTAGATACTTTGTAAATTCCAAGTGGGATCATCTAGGACAGCAGTTCTTGAAGTATGATCCATGTAACTCTGGAATTTAATATCTGTTTCAGATGGCCCATGTATAAAGGTCTTTCAAAAAGGTCATGAAAATGTGCATCATCTTTAGTAATATTTGTTTGTTTTTTTCTCTATTTATTTGAGAGGCAGAAAGAAAAAGAAAACTGCTTTCTGCTTGCTTACTCACCAAATGCCCGCAACAGCCAGGGCTGGGCTGGGCCACAGTTAGGAGCCAGAAAGCAATCCCAGTCTCCCATGTGGATGGCAGGAACGCAAATACTCCAACCTTCACTTGCTGCCTTTTGTGATCTGTTTGGTAGGGAGCTAGAGCCAGGAATTGAACCCAGACACTACAATGCGGAAGGCATCTTAACTACTGGGCTGGACACCCGCTCCAGCATCATCATTTAATTCCCTCTTTCCATGAATTTCTTGAAGTTCACTCAGAGTTCTCCAGAGACTGTGAGAAACTGTTTCACATAATTATGTAAGTTGAGAAGTCCTGTGGTCTGCTTCCTGCAAGCTGGAGACCTAGAAAGCCATTGGTGTAATACAGTCTGGGCCCAAAAGCCTATCAGGAAAGTAGGTGTAACCCCGTGTGAAGGCAGGGGAAGGAGAGATGAAGTGTCCCAGCTCAACCAGGGAGCAAAGAAAGGGGCAGAATTCTCTTTCCTACAAATTTATTCTCTTCAGACTCGCCCTGGATTGGATGATGCCCACCCACACTGAGAGGGCAGGATATTTTATATATGCCCACTTATTAAAATGCTGATACTACTCTGAACTACCTTCATAGATAAATGCAGAAGTATTTATTCTGGGTACTGTGTGACACAGTTTGACACATAGAATTAACCACCACAATCCTTGTGATCAGAAGTACTTCCATAATTATACTAAAACATCATTTACCTTTTCCACTGTGATTTTTACAGTGATGGTACAAATGTAGTGGATGGTAAAACTACTGGTAGTTAAGTAAAAATCAAGGTGGATGGCACTAGGTTGTATAGTATTCTTCATTGCCACAGACTTGCAAGTAATCAAAAATAGTTGCACCTAAGAATGTTCTTGGGGCCAGCATTGTGGCACAGCAGGTCAAGCTGCCACCTGCCACACCGATTACTATAATTAGAGCACCAGTTGAGTCCCAGTGGTTCCGCTTCCTATCCTGCTCCCTGCTGATATGCCTCGGAAGGTAGTGGAAGATGACTAACGTACTTGTTACCCTTGCCACCGATATGGGAGACCAGGATGTAGTTCCCTGCTTCAGCCTCCCAGCCCTGACCATTACCACCGTTTGGGGAGTGAACTAGCAGATAGAAGATCTTTCTTCCTCTTCCCCCTCCCTCTCCTTCTCCCTCTTTCCCCTGCCTCTTCCTCTCCTCCTCCCTCTCTTTCCCTCCCTTTCTGTGTCACCCTGTCTTTCAAAATAAGGTAGAGAAAATGGTTATGCTATTAAATTTCAACCATCAACTATACACATTTTTAATATTCTGTTAGATGAAATGGGAAGTACACTTCTGTGTTGCAAAGTACAATGTCTTGAGTTCAACCAATCTGCTTTTATGCATACTGTTTTTACTTGAGAGAATGACTGACAGGCAAGCTGTTATTCAGACTCCAGTTTTGACATCTTTTTTCGAAAAGCAATGTGAGAGTGTTATGTCAAGAAAATAACTGACAGTATTGGTTGCCAATGACAAAATGTGAGTTTGCAAGCAAAAATTCAAATTTAGGAAACCTTGCATCAGCCATCAAGAGTTTGACAACTCCAAAACAATGGCTTTCTATTGAGATCGGTGTTGATATTAAAGAATGAGATGTTTTGATAGTGTATCATTTGTTAACTGGGGCATATGCACTGCTCAGTGAAGCTGTATTTTCTTTTTCATTTTAAGATTTACTTATTTATTTATGTTTTTAAGATTTATTTATTTGAAAGAGTTACACAGAGAGAGGAGAGGCAGAGAGAGGGCTTCAATTCACTGGTATACTCCCCAATTGACCACAATGGCCGGAGTTGTACCTATCCGGAGCCAGGAGCTTCTTCTGGGTCTCCCATACTGGTGCAGGAGCCCAAGCGCTTGGGCCATCTTCTCCTTTCCCAGGCCACAAGAGAGCTGGATCAGAAGTGGAGCAGCCAGACTCGAACTGGCTCCCATATGGGATGCCGGCACTGCGGGTGGTGGCTTTACCTGCTATGCCACAAAACCAGCCCCAAGATTTATTTATTTATTTGAAAGGCAGAGTTACAGAGAGGCAGAAGCAGAGAGAAAGAGGGGTCTTTGATCTGCTGGTTTACTCCCCAAGTGGCTGCAACAGCCAGAGGTTGGTGGTTGCAAAGCCAGGAGCCAGGAGCTTCTTCCAGGTCTTCCACATGGGTGCAGGGGCCCAAGGGCTTGGGCCATCTTCTACTGCTATCCCAGGCGATAGCAGAAAGTTGGAAGTGGATCAGCCGGGACTCGAACTGGCGCCCATATTGGATGCCAGTGCTGCATGTGGCAGTTTTATCCGCTAAGCGACAGTGCCGGCCCCTGAAACTGTGTTCTCTAAATGTTCAATGCAGGATGTTAGAAAATTCTGTGCAGTTAAGATATCCAGAGTGCAAAATAGACCAATTGATGTCATTTGAATGCATAAAGTTCACTGACACATAGCTTTAGATACCACATTATAACTAAGCTATAAGATAAAGTAACACTTGTGTTAGTGTAATATAGAATATTTATATTTGGTACAATACCAGGGAATATCTGTAATTATCTGAAAAGGTTATTAAAATACTCTTTTCATAGGTACTTATTTATGTGAAGCCAGATTTTCTTTGTACCCTTTAAGCAAAAAATGATGTAGTAACAGACTGAGTGCTGGAACAGATGTGAGAATCTGTCCATTTTCAGTTGGAAGCAGACATTAGAGACTTGCAGACATGTATAGTAGTATTCTTGATAAACTTTTAAAAGTTATAATGAATACTCATGTAGTTTATGTAATGAGATATATAATATGGTAATTAGTAAATGTTTAAAAACATTTGTTTTAAATTCTAATGTGAATAAATATCAGTAGATATGCAAGATAAATAAGAGCCATTTAAGATATCAATTGTTAAGAATATAGATGGGCCGGCGCCGCGGCTCACTAGGCTAATCCTCCGCCTAGCGGCGCCGGCACACCGGGTTCTAGTCCCGGTCAGTCAGGGCGCCGGATTCTGTCCCGGTTGCCCCTCTTCCAGGCCAGCTCTCTGCTGTGGCCAGGGAGTGCAGTGGAGGATGGCCCAGGTACTTGGGCCCTGCACCCCATGGGAGACCAGGAAAAGCACCTGACTCCTGGCTCCTGCCATCGGATCAGCGCGGTGCGCTGGCCGCAGCGCGCTGGCCGCGGCGGCCATTGGAGGGTGAACCAACGGCAAAGGAAGACCTTTCTCTCTGTCTCTCTCTCTCACTGTCCACTCTGCCTGTCTGCCTGTCCAAAAAAAAAAAAAAATATATATATATATATAGATAGATAGATGAGTCTTGAGACCCAACAAAAGCAGAAGTGATGATCTAAGAAGATGGTAATTCAAACAAATTAGAATTTATAACTTTTAATTTGCTAATATAAATTTGTATGGTGTTAGAATTTTTTGAAAAATTTGTGCATACCTGTGAAATATTTTAAAAGGTAAAAATATCTGAAAATTAATGTGATTTAATAAAGTACTTTAACCTCTTTTGGGGAAATGCAAAATAGTACAAAAGAATCTTATGGGTTATGTTGTTGGTGCTAGTAATCTTTTTTTTAGAAGTTTTTTGTTTTTGTACCATAAAACGTTGGCATAGCAATAGTAACAGAACTTGAAATTTAAAGACTACTTTTAGTCAAGAAATTGCACCATTTTACATTTTCAGTTCTTGTTTATATATTCTGATTTTACACTCAAGATTTTTTTTTTAATGTGCTCATTTGGATGATTTTAGAAAAGAATAATTTCAATAGTTAAAGAATAATGTGTACTGCCATTCAGTTAGTGCAGCAGTGGCCACCTTTTAGAAGAGTTGTATAACTAAGTTTCTTGTGATGTTTTGTGATCATCCAGTACAGAGGAAAGTTTTGTACACAACTTGTTTTCTGAATCTTGTCTAAGAAACAAACTTGGAATAGTATAAAGAAACTTTTAAGAATGTGAGAATAGATTTACTTAATGGAAGTTGTTTGTAGGGACTGGTGCCGTGGCTCACTTGGTTAATCCTCTGCCTTGTGGCGCCAGCATCCCATAAGGGCACCGGGTTCTAGTCCCGGTTGCTGCTCTTCCAGTCCAGCTCTCTGCTGTGGCCTGGGAGGGCAGTGGAGGATGGCCCAGGTGCTTGGGCCCTGCACCCCATGGGAGACCAGGAAGAAGCACCTGGCTCCTGGCTTAGGACTATAATCACCTACATTTTCCCAGTATCATATTTGTGCTTATGGAATACAACTACTCAGAACTCCATGATTAACATTTTTTATTTTAATAACTTCATAATTGATGTCTTTAGTTTCTTAAAAGGAGATATGTTCATTGTTCATAATGAATTAGAAGATGGATGGATGTGGGTTACAAATCTAAGAACAGACGAGCAAGGCCTTATTGTTGAAGACCTAGTGGAAGAGGTGGTAAGTTTGTTCTTTTCAACTCAAAATTCTAAATATTTTTTAAAAGAATCAAACTTCTTCATAATCATGGAAATTACTTACGTATGATTTCTTTTATGGAAGACTTTATAAGTACAGGAAATTTTTCCTTAAGAAATCTTTACTTCTAGGAAATGCTATTTTTTGTAAAGAAAGTAGCCAAGCCAATTTGTTAAAATATGTACCTGCCAATTTTCAGAAAGGTTTTGTGAGTTTCTGAATTAAAAATGTCTTAAAAATTTGTTTATTTTTGTAGTTTTTTATCACTCTCCTATTCTTACTCAAATGAAATTACTTAAGACTGATCATGGTTTGGTTTCAAATAGTTTAGCTATCAAATATATGTATAATTTTTCAGTAACCTTGGAAAAATTCAAGTACATTACACATTTATTACCACACACGGTTTTTTTGTTTTGTTTCTTAAGATTTATTTATTTGAGAGTTTGAGTTACAGAAAGAGAGGGAGGGAGGGAGGGAGGGAGGGAGAGAGAGACACAAAGAAAGGTATTCTGTCCACTGGTTCCACAGAGAGAGAGAGAGATACGAAGAAAGGTATTCTGTCCAATGGTTCCCCAAATGGCTGAAATAGCCAAGATTGGCCTGTCTGAACCCAGGAGCTTCTTCCATGTCTCCTACCTGGGTGCAGCATTTGGGCCATTTTCCACTGCTTTCCCAGGCCGTTAACCTAGAGCTAGATCGGAAGAGGAGCAGCTAGGTTTCAAACTGGCTCCCATATGGGATGTTGGTACCACAGGCAGAGGCTTAGCATACTACACCACAGTACCGGCCTCCACAAATTGTTCTGTATTTTCAGTATTCTTTTGTTACCATCATATAATGTGTTATTAGTCATGTTATCACACTGTAAAAATTACCATATATGTGCATTTTTAAATAACAAGTGAGCATTCAGTGTTCACTACCACTAAGATATGCCAGACATTATAATTTCGGAAGTCATGCTTTCCTTTCCGATTTATCTAGCAAGATAGATGGCTTTCTGTTCTTTTATAACCCTCGAACCTACTGATTTTAAATTATGCTGTGGACCTTGTAACATTCAGAAACCCATACTCTGATTTGCTCCAGAAAGATGGTAGTGGAGAATATTTTTCTTTAGAATTAATCATCTTGTGTGCATATCCTGGCAACCAGATTTTGGTGTACAAAAGTAAAATATAGAGAAAAGATGGAAGGAGTTGAGGAAATGGTGTGATATATTCCGCACTCATAGTCACATGGTAGAAGAATGGGGATTAGAACAGCTAATCCCTAAATTAGTATTCTGTATCCTAATAGTGGGAGAAATACTTATTCCATATAGGCAAAAAATATTCAAACTGAGGCATTGGGGCTGGCACTGTGGTGTAGTGAGTAAAGCCGCCACCTGCAGTGCCGGCATCCCATATGGTTGCTGGTTCAAGTCCTGGCTGTTCCACTTCTTGTCCAACTCTCTGCCATGGCCTGGGAAAGCAGTAGAAGATGATGTAAGTGCCTGGGCTCCTGCACCCATGTGGGAGATAGAGAAGAAGTTCCTGGCTCCTGGGTTTGAATCGGTGCAGCTCCAGCTGTTGTGGCCAACTGGGGAGTGAACCAATGGATGGAAGACCTCTTTGTCTGTCTTTCTCTCTGCTTCTCCTTCTTTCCCTTGTAACTCTGACTTTCAAATAAATAAATAGATCTTTAAAAAAAAAAAAAGAAACTGAGGCATCTTTCTGCCTATGTTGATTTTCCTACAACATTTTTTAAAAAAAATTATTATATTTTATTTGAAAGGCAGAGTTACATAGAGAGATATTCTACAGAATTTCTTAAACTTCAATGTTGGGTTTCCATCTCCCTGCTGTATATCACCCTCTTCTAGATGATTTAAAGGAATTGTAGTGTCGTTGAACTATCCTTGAGCTGTTGGAATTCTAAATCAGATATAACAAGATAAACTGTAATAAAGATAATTGAAAAGTACCCAGTGTTGGTAGAAAAATAAGATACAAACCCAGTCTAAGATAAGGAGACATGAAAAAGCAAAGGGTTATCACCTCAGTAGGAATAAGCAATGTGGAATTGCTGCTAAAAATGAATATAGTCATAGTTTGTGGAATATAGCCATACTTAGTGGAAGAATTCCAAGTTAGAATTATAAACCAGTATTATTATAATTTTAGAATTAGAATTAGAATTCATTGGAAGGTTGTCAGTTCCTTTTGGGTTGGAAAGCCATTTGGACCTTATCTACATTGTGAGCATGTTCCAAGCATTGTGTTAATGGTTGGGTTTAAGGAATTTCCCACATTAAAATTCAGATTATTGTTTTTAAAGCACATTTATACTTTTATGTCTTAACGTTAGAATATATGCTCTCTGAGAGGAGATTTTATTTACTGATGTCTCCCCATTGCTTTGAACAGTATCTGCATTAGTAGGCATTCAGTAAATGTTTGTAGCGTGAATATCTCTGTACCTGTATTTCCTCTTCTTTGATATTCTTGTCATGTCAAATTTTATTCATCTTTATCAACTCAGTTGAGGTGTCACCCCTTCTTTGACAGAGGTTTTATGCTTTTGTAGATTCTCAGGTTAAACTGTGTCCTCCTGTGTTTATAGAGCACTTTGTTCTGTATTCCATTGCATCATATAACATTAATTTTTGTGTCAATAAGAGGTGAATTCCTTTTGGGCTATTCATTTATAAAAATGCTATTCACTTATTAAAAAATATATATATATTTATTTGAAAGGCAGAGTGACAGGGAGAGAAGGACAGAGAGACAGAAATCTTCCATCTGCTGGTTCACTCCCCAGATGGCCGAAATAGTCAGGTCTGGGCCAGGCTGAAGTCAAGAACCAGGAACTCAGTCAAAGTCAACCATAGGTGTCAAGAGCCCAAGCACTTGGGCCATCATCAGCTGCCTTCCCTGCACATTAGCAGAGACTGGATTGGAAGCAGAGCAGCCAGCACTCGAACCAGCATTCTGATAGGGGATGCCAACTTTACATATTGCATGCACCTTATCCCACTGCCTCACAATGCGGCCCTTCTATTCATTTTATTGTTGTTGCTTTAGCATACTGCCTTGGGTATGGTGATTGGATCTTAGTTTGATTAGGTATTTAAATGAGTGAGGACAAAATTGAGAGAATTAAATCCATGTATGCTTAGACTATTTTTCTCTTCTTTCCTTATTGTGTATTCAGTGAAAATTCAGTGTCAGGTATTATGTTAGGATTGCAGTTCAGTAGAGACTTCAGTGAAAATTATGCATCCAGCATTGTGCTAGTTCTTATAGCTGTTGCCTGTGGTGGTGAATGTTAACTAAGACTTAAGGCTAAGACCTTAAGATGTTTGTAGCCACTGTGTAGTATGAATAACACTAGTGTATCTGAAAAATAGGAGTACAGATTAAGTAAAGTTCAAAAGATAATAAGATATATTTTATATACTCATTTTTTAGGAGTTCCACAAAAGAAAATAGTCTGTAGTGGTAGAAAAATGTAGGGAAGCAAAATAGATAGTTATATATGGCTTTCTATAGGTATATAAAGACCGTTGATAACATCAGACAAGCAACATAGACTTGAATTTTTTGGTAAAGGACTTTCATTGCAGAAGGAAGAATTTGTAGGCAGCAGGGAGATAATCAAAGTTTAGTTTTAAAAATCTGGTTTTATTCTATTTGATTTTTCAAAATGCAGGACAAAGCTGCAGTGATGAATCCAGACGGGAATTGGGGTTGAGAGTGGGACACAGAGGTTTTAATAAAAGTAGATTAATAGTTAATTATATAAAATACTGTCTTAATGTCTTCCCTTTAGGGTCGGGAAGAAGATCCACATGAAGGCAAAATGTAAGTTTGTGTTAATTTTAAAAGGGGAAAACCATATATATAGAGAGACAGACAGACACAGGGAGGGAGAGTAAACGTTCTAATGAGAAAACTTCAGCCGAACATATTTTTAGATCTATTCTTGATTGGATTAATTTTTTTTTTTTTTTAATTCATTGAGGGAATGATGTCTAAGTATTTTCTCAGGGGCTAGGTAATAAGGTCTTATTTTTAAATAACAGGTGATGATCTAAAATTTGTACAAAAACTTGTATTACCAAACTAAAGACTTTCTGTTAAATATTACATTAATATTATTAATGTCACAGTTTCAAATTTTTCTTTGTTTTCTTTTTATCATTATTTTTCTTTTATTGTAGGTGTACATTTTATAAATTTTATAGTTCAGTGTTTTGTTGGTGGTGGTCAGAGTAATTTTCTCCAAGATCATTTGCTATTTCAGCAAGATTCTACGAAGTTTTTCTATTCATACTGATTTTGATTATGTAAGATTTCTTTTAAAGATCTTAACTGCTAATCTCAATTCTTATTCATATTATTTTAATAGACTATTCGTCTTCTAATACCTTTTCATTAGAGCTTTTAAAAGTTAGTTTTCTGTCATTCTATAGGTGGATTATATGAGGTATATTCTAAGTACATTTTTATATTATTCCTTGTAGCTAAAAATAGACTGCAGTCAATGACAGTGTACTTTGTTGATTGTATTAGTTTTGAAGTGTTTCCACTAGAAAGTCTGCCTATTGTAAGGTAACTGTTCTGTGTAGTTGATATGTACAAGAATGTGAAATCTTGATTTTTAAGAGAAAATCTAAATCTAGATTTTTGTTATTTTAAACACTAGTGTAGGTTCATTTTATTTTAAATATTGGTCAAATGTCAGTATTTAAAAGTACATCCAGTTTTCTCATAGTGTAATGTATAAATCCCACTTTCACTGGGGCATCTTTTATTTAATGCCATTTTCATTCTTCCATTTTCTTAATGTTATAATCTTCACTCATTTCATGCTTAGCATAAGCAAAGTTAGCCTTGCTCATTTATTTGATGTGTGTGTGTGCTTCCTTTAATTTCTTAAGGTGGTGCTATGGCAGTGAAGTGTCTTAAATTCCCAGGTGTTTTCGGTAACATATATGAATGCCTTTTGAAATTAAGTGGATGGTATAACTGGTTGAGTTTCTTTCTTACTCTGTTTCCATTATTTGGTACCAAGTCCTATGATTTTATCTCCTAAAATATTTAATGTATGTATGTGTAACCTCTTCTTTGTCTTAAGTAATAAACATATTCTAATTCAGGCTTTTTTAAAATAACTTTCTACAAGGTTCTGATATAGCAATATCTCTAAGTTGGTCTGTATTAACTCTCCAGTCCTCTCAGATTCTTTCTTCTACTAGCTCATAATTGATTGTATCTCTTTCTCACCTAAAATCCTTAGCTGATTCTCTGTTGTTATCTTAGTAGAGCCTGAAGAGACATCTGTGACCTAGTTCTTATCCTTTCCTAGTCCTATCCCTTGTCATTTCTGTTTTTATACCCGCCATCTTGGAGGTCTTCAAATGCACACTATACTGTTGTGTTCCTTTATACTACTGCTCAAGCTCTGTTTCCTGGGCCAGAGTCCCCAACTCTTTCAGACTTCAAGACTTAGCTTATTGTCACTCCTCCCATTGTAACTCTTCCTCCATCTTCTCCTCTGTACATACTGGAGTTGGTGCTTTTCTGTCTGTGTATCTGTCATCACAGTTACTGAGTTTTCTAAGTCATTTTTACAGTTACACACTGTTTGTTTTTTTTTTTTCCTAGCTAGAGTAGGGTCTGCTTAAGAATAAAGTGTCATGTTTTTAATCACAGTGTCAAACAGTGTGCTAAAAAGAGAGAAATATTGTATAGGAATAAATCTAATGAATGAAACTCTTAATCTCTTTAGAAAATGATACTACAGTTTTTAAGCTAAAAATCTTGTTAATTTCTACCTCCTCCCATCTGTTGCTTCTTTAGCCTCCTCTTTGAATTCTCTTTTTTTCTGTAGCTTTAAACTCCTCTTTGGAGTTCATCTAGTGCACTCTGCCCCAGAATATAGAAATCCTGTTGTGGCATTTGTACTAAGTAGTCAATTTACCTGTACTAAAATGAAATATGGAGCGCCACTACATTTTAAGGCAGTCAAGATTGCTTTAGTCGCCATAGTTTTCTTTTAAAATCTTCATAATTTGCACTGGGAGCAGCACAGAAACCGAATTAGTGAGTTAATGTTGGAATGAGATTTAAGAGAGAATTTGTAAGTTTAACTTTTCATTATGTAAGAAGGTAAAGCTGAAGTTGACTTTTCATACTTTTACCTGTAATAGTGTGGATAACTTAAAACTTGTAACATTAGATTTTTGTTAATATTACAAGGATATTTGTATTTTTAATAGAAAACTTTTATTTAATAAATATAAATTTCAAAAGTATTAGTTTTTATTATTTTTAATAGAAAACTATATTAGACTTTAAAATACCTTTCTGTTGTAGTCTTTTATGTACTTTCAATCCTGTGCTGAAATTCATTATTTGAAATAAGTGTAGATGCTAAGAAGAGGCAGCAAGGTGGTAGAGGTGATCGGGAAGTGTCAGGTTGTGTTAATCAGTATGGTAGATAAGCCACAGGTAAATAAGAGGAGATTTTAAATCCTTTGATGACTAATCATTACTTTTTTCTTTAAAAGAGATGCTATTTTCTTTGAAGGTAAATTCTAAATAATTCAGTTAAATCAAATGATGCCATTTACAATAATAACTGAATTCTTAATTTTTTTAAAATAAAGATTTATTTCTTTGAAAAGGCAGAGTTTACAGAGGGAGGGAGAGACAGAGACAGAGATCTTCCCATCCACTGGTTCACTCCACAAATGGCCACAGAGGCCAGGGCTGGGCCAGGTTGAAGACAGAAGCCTGGAACTTCACCTCCGGGTTCAGGAGACCAAGTACTTGGGACATATCTTCAACTGCCTTCCCAAGTGCTTTAGCAGGGAGCTTGAAAAGTGGCGCAGCTAGGACACTTACTGGTGCCCATATGGGATGTAGGCACCACAATGCCAGCCCCTATATCTTTACTTTAAAAATACATACTATAAAATACTTTACTAGTTTGATAGGCTATTGGTTCAGATAGAATTAGAAACAGTCCTTTTCTTTCAATGCTTAATGTTGGTATTAACTCATTGTCATCACAAAATTTTACCTTTAGGCTTTCAAAAAGTATGCATAAATCTCATATTATTTGAGAAAATAACTTACTGTATGTTATAAGAAATTTTCCTTTGAGGGAAATATGACAAAAATTAATTAACATCATATTTTCTGGGTGGTTCTGGTTTGGGTTTTACCTGTACTTAGCCTTGTGCCCCTGCCCGCCCCGCTGCCTAAATTCCCAAAAAGAAAAAAAGGGCTAACTGTGAAGCAAGCATATAGTCAGTACAGGATTGAAAATTCATAGCTATTTTTACGTTGATTATTACTTTGGAAATTGTAGTTTATGTGTATAGGTCTAGGGTTTTTTTTTTATATTGAAATGAGTGTAATATGTTTATAAAATGTAACAAATGTTATGGGAATTAGATAATTTGATCAGTTGCATTTATTTTATTGTCAGTTTGAATTAAATTTGTTCGTTATTTAGTTCTGATCATATGATAACATAATAGATTTTGATTTATATATCTAATTTGTTATCTTTTTAAGATGGTTCCACGGGAAGATTTCCAAACAAGAAGCTTATAATTTACTAATGACAGGTACTTCTATGTTCACTTGCCTTTTCTAATGTTTTTATTTAAAAGAATAAAAAAATGAGTTAGCCATTTATCATATAATGTGTTTTGTCTTTACTGTTCAGTTAATGTTTATGGATATTTTAATTTCTTGCCAGATTCTGACAAGCTGCTGTTTTTTGTTATAGTTTTTAGTTGCAGCATACACATGGCATAAAACAAAGGGTATTTGTCTTCTAATCCAGGCCCTGTCTCTTTCCTTACGTGTAAACTTGATGACAGTTTTCTTCTGTATGTTTCTAGAGATGTTCTGTGTCTGTGTATCTCTATTCCTCACTCCTACACACGCACACAGTTACAACAATGTGCATCATATTTTATGTTAGGATATATGTTGGGAGATCAGTGCATAACTGCAGATGCATAGTTTTATTATTCTTTTTAATGGCCATATACTTTCCATTACAATAAAAACTAGTCTCTCAGCCCCTCATGGAGTGATAATGTGTTATTTTGATTGTCAGTTAACTATAGCAGGCCAATGTTCTTGTATTTGTGTACTTGTAGAATTATATAATTGAGTCTTATTTAAAATGTACTAATTTTAACATTTCCCAAAACCTGTTATTATAATGAAAATTTAAAAATTAAAAGTAAAAATTGACTGGTATTGTGGATTTGTTACTTAAAAACCATCCTGGCCGGCGCCGCGGCTCACTAGGCTAATCCTCTGCCTTGCGGCGCCGGCACACCGGGTTCTAGTCCTGGTCGGGGCGCCAGATTCTGTCCCGGTTGCCCCTCTTCCAGGCCAGCTCTCTGCTGTGGCCAGGGAGTACAGTGGAGGATGGCCCAAGTGCTTGGTCCCTGCACCCCATGGGAGACCAGGATAAGTACCTGGCTTCTGCCATCAGATCAGCACAGTGCGTTGGCCGCGGCAGCCATTGGAGAGTGAACCAACTGCAAAGGAAGACCTTTCTCTCTGTCTGTCTCTCTCACTGTCCACTCTGCCTATCCAAAAAAAAAAAAAAAAATCCTAACATCATTTATTCTTGCTAAATATTTAAGGGTGAATTACGTACCAAATAGTTTTTCAGTAAATTGTATTTTAGAAAGATTTGAAACAAGGTTAACCTGTGTTATGTAATTTAGCAGTCTTAGTTCTTTAAAAATGACTAGTTTCATAATTTCTGTATTTGCTGAAATAAATTAGCATGGTGAATAATCCATTGATTATTAAAGATGAGGTCTGAATTGTTGTTGTAGACCATAAGGCAATGTACTTTTAAACAATAATTTGCTTTTTTGGAAGATTTGAGGTAGTTTTTGGAGTGTGTAATTTTACTACTAATCTAATCTATATTAAATAGGTTCGAAACATAAAAAACATAGTAATTCTATATGATAGTCATAGAGACCAATTGCTAAGCCAAAATTACAACTTTCAAAGTGGGATCAAAAATACTTATTTTAATGAATTTGTTGAATTTTGGAGAGTAGTAAAAACTTAATTCACTTGAGGCTCTAGTTTTAGACATATAAAGCTGGAAGGGGGATATCCTTAAGTTTTTTATGTTACTTTGTTTTTTATCTTGGTCTGTGTTATTTTGAGAATCTAGCAGGATTTTCTTCCCTGAAAAATACACTTAAGCACTTGCAGCCACATTTTTATGAATAATTTATATCTTCCATTTTAGAAGAAATATGATTTGTTTTATCAACTAAGAAACACATTCATTTCTTTTCAATTGTGTATTAAGATTGGAAGATTCACTTTAAGGAGGATTCTTTTTTCAGTTCTTTTTGTCAAAAATGATCTTGATAGCAGGTGCATTGGCTAGATGAATAACACTATTAGTAAATTACAAAAATTATATCTTATTCTGTGTGTTCACTATGGGGTTCCAAAAACAGTAAAGTCCTGTTTTTTCCTATGTCTTTAAGATTCAAACAGAAAAACATCTCCATATTAAATCACTGCCAATTGAAAATATCAAAATTCTTAATATGAATATATTTATTGTGATAATTTGCTTCTTATCTTTACAGGATCATGCCTGTTGAATGAAATACAGTGCATGTATATTGATTTTGATAGTTCCACAAATATTTCAGTTATTTTCAATTCACCTTTGTAAGCTTTATGGTACTGTTCTCTTTACTAGCCATTATTTTCAAATTATTAATTGAATATATTGATAAAGTAATAAGTCTGTCCTAAACAAAAGTGATTTTAATTTTTAGGGCCTTTTTATTAAGGAATTTACAAATAGAATGTGGCAGTTTCGGCCAATGCCTGTTAAATATAGTTGCTCTTCTTTCCAAGTTATGAAAGGTATGGATGTTGTTGACCAGAAGTAATTGCTGCAAAATTTTTGATTTGCATTTTTATGTAATGAAGCTGGTATGATAGATCAGAGATACAGCAGACAAGCAAGATGGGTACTTGTGAATCATAAACCAGAAAATATGAAAAAAGTGTTTTTAAAGAGCAGTTATTGGTGAAAATTTGCATGTGTATGACTTTGAATGCACTTTGTAATTACTATTTAACTCCTTTTCATTTTAATTTGATAATTAGGAAATAAAACTAACAGTTTAATTTTTACAGTTGGCCAAGTCTGCAGTTTTCTTGTGAGGCCCTCAGATAATACTCCTGGGGATTATTCACTGTATTTTCGCACCAATGAAAATATTCAGCGATTTAAAATATGTCCAACACCAAACAATCAGTTTATGATGGGAGGCCGATATTATAACAGGTAAATCATAAGAAATTTATAGTTAGCTTTTACTTTTGCAAAAAAAAATAGTTGAAATATTGATAACTATAGTATAATGGATTCAAAATTACGTAAAATTTCCTATTTAAAAATAACACTTTTAATATAATTAGTAGTGTTAAACATGACTATAAATTAATGACTTTTACTTTGCGTCCTTCCAAAATTCATGATTTAAAAAATTATATATGCTAATTAAATATATGCTAATATACTGACCTGGATATTCTTCCAAGTCTGTTATTTTTAGACTTTTTATTCCCTGGATATGATCGCCTTATAAAGCTCAAGTGTATTGTTTCTAGTTTTAAAAGTAAATTTCTTTTTTAAGAAAGGTCAAAATTATGTGACTCTGGTGCTGGGAAAATGGCAGTTTTTTCAGTTGTTTTGGAAATAAATGCTCCCATTTCAACATTAATGTCAGTAATAATTCCCAGGAAAGATAAACCTTTGTGATTACCACTTATTATTTTGATAAAGTTACGGAAAGTAAGATTATTCAGTACATCTGACACTACCATTCTCTGCTATTCTATCTCATTTCCTCTCCCTCCCTCCCTACTTTACCTGCTGTTCATGTTTTTTATGACTTAACTGCATCTGATACAACAGCAAAATGTATAAATTTTCTCATAAGAATTCTTAGTTTACCTGAATTCTACTTGCTAAATAAGTGTCACTTTTCAGTTCTTCATTCTCAGTATCTCAGAAGTGATCTTATTCCTGTCCCCAAAAGGTAGACTTAAAATAATTTCTTCAGTTTATAGTGACTCTTAAGTATGGTTTTGTTGTCATAACTGCTCACTGGAGGTGTATGGGAAATTGGAATCTCTGACTCATCTATTCTGACCTAAAAACCTATATTAGAACTTTGTTGTTTTTCTAAAATGATGTGACTCTTAGAATCACTTATTCTATTTATTTGTTCACATTATACCCTTTTAAAAAAGACTTGATAATTCTTGGTAACAGAGTTTATATATATATATATATATATTTAAAATATTGCAGTTTTTATGAGACAAATTATATGAATGTAGTAATTTTTATTTTAACAGCATTGGTGACATCATAGATCATTATAGAAAAGAGCAGATTGTTGAAGGGTATTATCTTAAGGAACCTGTACCAATGCAGGTCAGTGTTTTCGTTGTTTTGTTTTTTTCACAATGAACACCCTTTAGTTTTTAAATACATTCTAGTGGTTGTTATGTTTATGCACACATTCATGTAGTGAAAATTGAATAAAGCTTAAAACTTCAGATTATTCAGGTTCTTTCAGAATATTAATTTTAAGAGAATCTCTTAGTTTTTGTATATGTTGATTCTAGATAATTAGGAGTCTTTGGTGGCTTTTTGAGAATAAAACTATTGTCAAGTTGCACTAAGTCAAGGAATGAGTTTGCTGGAGGCAAAATTGGAAGCTACAGGGATAAATCACAGCCAAGCTTATCTAGGTAAGCTTGGTAAGTAAAGAAAGAAATAAAAACTAATTATAGAAGAGCATTAGGGCCAAAAGAGTTTTAAACTGAGCTCTCCCTCCCCCCTTTTAATTGCCTATAGTAGTGTGGTGAAAGAGTTTGAGAATGTCTGCATCCTCTGAGTAAAGAGGAAGGTGAAGAGGAGGGTGGCAGTGGGGCTGGGGTCAGGAGAATGGGTGGCAGCAGTACCTGATGTACAAGATCCTGGAGAAAATAAGAAGTGAATGTAATCCCGAACATCAGAGGAAAGATTGTCCTAGAACAGGACTGCTCCTTTAGTATTGGTTGCTTCATGCACAGGGTGATTGACCCTCATTTCCTCCTCATTGTGCTTTCTGAAGTGTGTCAGGGAAAGGGTGTAGCAGGGATCAGGAAAAGGTGATTCAAGAGTATACTCATGTAGAAAATGAAGGTACTGATATCCCAAGGATAAAAAGAATCGTAAAAGAGGTTTTGGGTGCCCAGCTAAAGTTGTACAGTAATGTGTAATGTCTGTGGTTTTCAATTTTTGTCATGTTAAAAAGTTAGCTTTAGGTGGTTATATCTACTACCCATTGCAGTTACTGAAAGAGAAATCATTATTCTGAAAATAAATATAAATGCAAGAGTCATCACAATTCTGTCACATTTTTAAATATCTTCATTTCCTCATGCTTTTCTAGTAGAATGTAAGGTCTATGGGCAGAGATTTTTGTTTGCTTTGAACTGTTTTACCCCAAACAGTACTTGATATTAAGTATTCAATAAATCTTAATTGAATGAATGACTCTCTGCTCTCCAACAATAAGGCACCCACTTATTGGTTTACATTGCAGTGTGTACCTTCCTGTCTCTTATTCTGTATCCAAATTCTGCTTGTTAGAAATCCATCTCAAGTTTCACTTCCTGGTTGACAGCTTCCTAATAATTATAGTTAATGCAGATGAGGCATTTTTGTTGGCAGTTCTGGGTGATCTTGGCTGCTCACTATTCTAATTACTACATAAGGAAAACCTACTTAGAAAAAGAAAAGCATCAAAATATTGCAGTATGTACTTTCTACAGAGCAGTGTTGTAGGTTTTTTTTTTATTAGGAGTCAGAAGAGCCTTTATCTCCAGGTGACAGATTGTGCCACAGGTTACCATTGCTATGTCCCTAATTTTTAATTACATCCCTAATCCATTGGCTGTTTGAGTTAGTCACAGTTTCGTTTCATAAGTTTGTTAATGTTACTTTTCCACAAATTAAATCATATAATTTCTCATCCTGAATTCTAATTATATATTTTTATAGTTATAAAAAAAATAAATGGCATGTTTTTAACTTTTTAACTGTATGTAAGTGGAACAGATTTCGTATATACAGTTTTAGGAACACAGTACTTCTCACTCTAACCTCCCTCATTCCCACCATCCCTTTCTTATTTTTCTTTTAATTTATGCAGTGACATATTTTTAGTTTACTTTATAATCACAAGCTTAATCTCCCATTAAGTAAAGAAGTCAACAGGTAGTAAGGAGAAAAAACATGCTCGTTAGGAGTATGGACAAGGGCTATAAACAATAATCAAATCTCAAAATGTCGGTTTAATTCCTATAGATTATCTTTTTTTGTAGTCTGTATATTAGTCACCACAAATCAGAGAAAACACATATTTGTCTTTGGGACTGGCTAATTTCACTAAACATAATAGCCTCAAGTTGTATCCTTTTTGTTGTGAGAGACAATAAAAATGATTCTTTTTTTTTTCATTTTTTTTTTTTTTTGTGGCTAGGTAGTATTCCACCATGGACATACCACATTTTCTTTATGCAATTATCCAGTCATCAGTTGATAGACATCTGGGTTGATTCCATATCTTAGCTATTGTGAATTGAACTGTTATAATCTGGGGGCTACAGATAACTCATATCATAATTTAATTTCCTTTAGGTAAATTCCAATGAGTAGGGCTGCTGGGTCATATAGATGTTTTCAGATTTTGAGGAATCTCCCTGCTGTATTCCATAATGGTTGTATTAGTTTACATTCCCACCAACAGTGTATCAGGGTGCCCTTTTTTCCCCATCTCTGTCCTTTTTAAAATTTTATTTTTGTTTCATTGGAAAAGCAGAGAGGGAGAGACAGACACAGAAAGATCTATCTGCTGGTTCACTCCCCAAATGCTGCCAACTGCCAAAGCTGGATCAGGCTGAAGCCAGGACCCCCATGAGTGGCAGGGCCCCAGGTACTTGTACTGTTATCTGGTGCCTCCCAGAGTGTGATTGGAATCAGACCCAGGCACTGTGAGATGAGGGCATCCCAAGTGGCTTCTTAAGTCACTATGCCACATGCCTGACATCTAGTAAACTTTTAATAGATAAGATCACTTTAAGAATTACCTCAAATACTTTGTGTCTTAGTGTAACAACAAGTTGTTTCATAACCGAACAAACTTCAAATTGTTCTTTGCAAATGTGCTATCCAATGCATTGAATATCTAAAAAATAAATAATTATAAAGTAATTTGTTTATACAGAACCTGTGTAGTAGTACTTGTAGTGTGCATTTTGAGTCTGGAGTGAAAATAGGTTACAGTAGCGAGTCAAAATACTCGCTAGCCTTCCAGCAGCATTCTACTGTGTTTTTTTTGGAGAACAGACAAACTGATTATTTATCGAAGTAATACCACTCCTCTGAGGTGACCCGTGTCCTCAGCTTCAGGTAGGAACGTGACCAGAAACAGCAGAGATCCAGCAAGGTCGGCTTACTTCCTGAAACTGACACTTCTTGCAGCAAACAGGAGCAGCCTGTGGAGACCAAACACCCTACAGTAAAAACAACTGACACTTTTTAGGGCTATAATTATGCACTTCTAAAATATATATTATTCTAATTTTTTGACAACTTGATGAGGTTGACACTATAATTATGACTATTTTACAGATACGGAGACAGAACAAAGAGGTTGAGTAAATTCCTTTAGGCATTGAGTCATCCCTGACTGGACTCTCCTTCCCTCCCCTTCCCCACCCCTCCTTTTCTCCCTTCAAAATGTATCTGGAAATGTATGTCGTTCCCCTTCTAAATGCATCTGGAAATTTGGAATATGAACACCAACTGAAGCTGACTCATCTCCCTGCTTCTTCCTTTGTGCCTTATACCTCACGGCAATTAGAGGGTTCCCTTTAAAAACGAGTCAGGTCATGTCATTCCTCTGTTGAATATTGAAGATGTTTTACATTTCATTCAGAGGAAAACAAAAGCCTTTCAGGGCAATCCCATTAGTTGCATGAATTCTTTTCTTTGTACTATTCCTCTCATTCTTTCCATGCCTTTTTTTTTTTTTTTTTTCTTTTTTAAACTGTGCCAGGTTGTTTTTTTCTTTGGGATCTTTGTATTTGTTGAGTCTGCCCAAAATGATTTTCTACCAGGTATCTGCTTGTGTAACTCTCTCATCTTGGTGTTTTTGTTTAGAAGTTAGCTTCACAATGAGACTTACCTAGATGGCTTATTCAAGACTGCAACATGCTATACCTTGCAAGGCATTTACCAGCTTCTAACCTATAATAGAATTTACTTTATTTTCTCTTTCGCTGGCTAGCATATGAGTGTACTTCTAAAAGTTCATGTAATCTAGAGTTAAAAGATACGTGTACTTTGGTACATAAATATTTCAAATCCATGCATGATATTTTCAACATACACTTTCCTGAACTTTTTGAAGCGTAAGTTCCTTGAGGATAAGGATCTTTGTTTTGTTACCTGATGTATCTCAAAAACTAGAATAGAGTCTGGCACTCAGGAAACATTTATTGAATCAGTTTATTAAATGGAGTTTTCTTAGCCACAATTAACATCTAAAGTCAGGCTTCAGGAACCTGTATAGCTAACTTCTGAGCTACCTTGGAGAGGCACTGATAAAACCTAAGACCTCCCTGTCCAAAACTGTTGAGAGCAGGGAAGATAAATAATGTATAAGAAAAGTGTTCTCTCTAATCATCTAGTGATTGACTAACACTAGGAAGGTAAAGATGTCTTGTTTATATTGTTCTCTAATACATTGGACTCATTCAGTTCTTATAGGTCAGTATAACAGCCCCATCTTTATTTTTGAAGAGCTATATATATTATCTTGAAATCACATATTTAGATCCAAATATTCGTATAGTAATATATCTTAAGGGACAAAATACAATTATGCCCCATTCTGCAACTAATACTAAGTACTGTCTTTCAATCTTGAAGTAAGAATTGGTGCTTTGTAACTAACAAGTCTGTATGGCCAGCAACATGGCCATCACCATTTGCTATCTAGATCCTATGTAACCTTTTAAATTTTTTATACTCTTAAGTCATTTTACAAATGACTTGTAGAAGACTAAAGGGCTAATCCGAAAACACCTTTAATAGGAAATGTAATCAGAATTTAAATGTAGAAAACCCCAATTTTTGTTCTGTATTTTCCAGGACATAAAAGGCTTACATCCTTGAAATGGACATACCTGGAGACACACTCTTAGTTTAAATGCTGCCTCCATGTTTGAGTCACATCTCTCATGCTGTACTTATTCTGCTGCTTCTTGCACTGTCACTGTCAAAATGCAATACCAGATCTGGGTTATGATTCTTGTTCTTGTATCATCAAAATGCAGTACGTTTGAAAACTTCAGTGGCTCATACTGTTGCTGGAGAGTACAGTCTTCCTGAGTCCATAAGCATAAAGCATTTTTATGTTTAGATTTATAAATATCAATTAGAACTTTTAAATTTCTACGTTTTCCTTCAGTCGCCTTTTATAAAAACCATTTTCAGCACTTGTCCAGTTACAAATGATGCTAAGTAAATTTTGATGCCCAACCAGAAATTTAAAGAATACTCGGATTACTTTTCTGCAAAGCTGGATAATGATGATGTCCTTTCTATTGAATGACCAACTAGATCAGACTATTATATTTCCTGCCTTTCCCTGAGTAATGAAATGGTTCACTCAGTGATTGTTGCATTTAGAAATTCATTGAGTGCATTATCAGCTGGAGGACTGTAGCCTGAGTTGTGCTCATCGAAGTCCATTTTGCCATCACAGTAGAATCTAGAGTGTTGCTCGTTATTTGCATTCACGTTCTGATTCTTCTAATAGTTGTCAGACATCTTACTTAGCTCTCTCTTTTACCATCATGAGCAGAAAATTAAGAGTTCTAAATTGTTAGCTGTTTTGTGAAAGCTAATAAAATACAACAAAGATGGCTTTTAATTATTTTTGGTAAGGTGCTGCAATACTTGGCAACACAGTAAAAATACCAAATGGTGATGCAGTGGAGATGACTAATTTCACTATTTGCATCATACTCCAGACCAGGAGTTGGCAACATTTTTCTGTCAAGGACCAGATATTAAATATTTTATGTTCTGTGGGCCTTTCAATCTCTGTCTCAAGTATACTTCCGCCTATGTAGTTAAAAGCGATCCCAGACGATATTTAAAGGAATGAGCAGTAAAAATTACGTGCAAAAACAGGTAGTGAGCTGGACTAAAAGGCATAAAATACTAACCCTTACAGATGTTCTGAACTGCCCAAAAGATAAACAAAAAAAGTAAAAATAAGTGCAGTGGACACTGAAAGTAGAATTGAATATTGATTCTGTGGAGGCACTCTTTCCTTTTCCTGACATCTTTTTGTTAATTGAGGGATTTGGCAATTAATGCCAGTTCTGCTACAATATGGAATATGCGTTTCTAAAAGTCAGCATTATACAGATTCAAGCAATAAAAGCCAGCAGGGCCTGTGGGAAAAGTGGGGTTAGAGAGATAACAGTCGGAAACTTTACCAGTTGACGAGAAAGATTGGGACACCATTTGTAGATGGCTGGTTACAGCTTTCAACACATTTGGTTAAATGAGGGAACTGTTGGGCCTTTCAGGTGGCTGCAGTTTCAGTCTTCCTTTATCTCATTCCAGTTGGGTGTAGTATTCTATAGTCACTGTTTCCAGTTATGATAGGACAAACTAAAGCTTTTAAAATCATAGTATTTGCTGTAAAATATACCAAAACTGACTTTTTGGAAATGGCTTATTGGTTGTTCATGGGACATGTTCTAGGGAAATGGTAAAGAAATCAGAATTTCTTTGGAAAGTGAAGGCTTTTAATTTATATGTTATTGTATGTCTAGATTTTAGTATTAAAGATACTTTATGTGGCTTTTTAATTGGTAATTGGTAATTTAATTTCCGTTAAGATTTAAAGAATAACTCTAAAATAAGAAATTTGAAGATAAGATCATAAATTTCTTAGATGTTTGCTACATTTCCATCAAGAATTCATAAAATAATTTTAATAATTTTAAAAATTCAGGATCAAGAACAAGTACTCAATGATTCAGTAGATGGCAAGGAAATCTACAATACAATTCGTCGTAAAACAAAAGATGCCTTTTATAAAAATATTGTTAAGAAAGGCTATCTTCTGAAAAAGGGTGAGTAAACCTTAAAACTGAGAATTTAACTTCATTGTTTTACCAATGACACAGCTGATAGAGGGACATTGTAAATATGAAGGCTTAAACTTTGGTATGTATTTAGTGAGTTGTGTTGACATGAATTATTAGTAGTTGACACTTGCTTAGAGCTTATGGTGTTAGCATTCTTCAGAATTTAGTTTATCCACATTAAGTCCTCATTTCCACCAGAACCTTAGGGAACGAACTTGTATGTTGCCATGTATGCCCTTAAACTTGAAGGTGGCTTCTAGGCTAGGTGTTTTGATTCTTTGCCCTGTTCCCTTGAGCCCCTTTTCCCATTTTTTTTTTTTTTTTAAGAGAAATTCCTTATGGCACTCAACACATTCATGGTGTTGCTGTTTTCATAGATTTGCCTCAATTTGACATTAAGACACACTGGGAAGTTGGGTGGGTGTCTGATAGAAGAATTTTTTCCTTAAGACTGCAAAAGAATTATTCCAAAATAAGTATTTTGGAGATTTGATTACAATGAAATCTCTGAAGATACAGTTAAGGTAACCTTGTTATTTATTCTGTGACTCATTAAAACAGTATAACAAGTATTTTCCCATTATACAAGGATTGGTGCATTGTTTAAGCTTGGAATTAAAATTTGAAGTATATACAGTTTTTGGCGGGGACAACAGTAATTTTTATGTTTCTAATATGTACAGGTTCACACATTATTGTTTGGCTAAGAGAAAACAATTTGTTTTTAAACAGGCAAAGGAAAACGCTGGAAAAATTTATATTTTATCTTAGAGGGCAGTGATGCCCAACTTATTTATTTTGAAAGTGAAAAGCGAGCTACAAAACCAAAAGGATTAATAGATCTCAGTGTATGTTCTGTCTACGTTGTGCACGATAGTCTCTTTGGAAGGTAAGAATTGGTTTCTGTTTCCCTTTTTGGAATTATTTTATAATAAAATAATATGGTCAGATCATTTAAAATAGCAGATCAACTTAGAGTATCCTAAAACATCTTCCAGAAATTTCAGACGTACTTTTGAGGGTAATTTTTGTCTTCCTTGTCTATTTTAATTGTGAAAATTGTTCTCCACTGTATTATGTTGAAATCTTTGAATGACATTTCTTATGGTGACTTGACCTATCTAGCAGATTTCCTCCTTGTCTTCACCAATGAGATTTTAGCGACTCACTGAGTCTTACCACTTTTTCTCTAATTCTTATCACATTGTCTTGTTAATGCAGTATGTTTGATAGTACTGTGTACAAGCAGTACTATTAACTCTCTATGGTATGTTCCTAAGAAACTTGACATTAAAAAGCAATTGCAATATGAAAATAAAAAATGGACTATTTCAGATTTGAAGTACAAAGGTTTTTTTTCTCTTACATTGATTTGAGAATTTTTTTAAAAATATTAAGTTTGTAATCTAAATTCTGAAATCCGAGATAAATTCAGCTTTTGTCATTTATCATTTACTGTGGGGTGGCATTTCTACTTGGCAAGTCTAGGTCTTATCATGTGAAAGTTATGTAATATATCTACAGAAATGCCTATAAAGCATGCCACCTAGTCATTTTTTTTCCCTGAGTGGTTTGAGGAGATTATGTTAATACCACTTGTGATATCATGGGTAGTCAGTTATTTTAATTGGTCAAATATATTTGAAGTGATGAATAAAAAATTTTCTTTACAGCAGGTTTTTTTTTTAATCTTAGCATTTATATTGTGAATTTTTTATTATAGAAAGAATTTCATAAATTCATTTGTCCTTGATATCATCTTTTTTGCCTGAACACTCCCTAAAATCTCATAAAAAGAGTTACCCTAGAAAGCTTTTGTTTTGGGTTGGGTGAGAATGGGGTTTCCTCAAGGTTTTTTTTTCCCCCTATGCCTTAGTGCAGCCAACATCCCCCCCCCCCCCACTATTAAGTTTTTGGTTGCCTGAGTAGCCAGGGAATCAGACTGCTCTGATAGATTGAAGCCATTTGGTGCCCAGCTATGTAGCTGGAATGGATCTCACAAGTAGTGAACCTGCAGTAGTTATGGGTGACATGACTGTTGGACATACAGCAACATTCTTCATCACCAAATATAGTTTATTAAGTGATAAAAATAGTTAAAACAATGAAAGAGGGATGAGGTTTGGGAGCCAAGTTTATTGAATTAAGTAATCGTACCAGAATATCCCTGTAAGACTGGTTGCAGGAGCCCTAGTGGTCACAAAAATGCAAAGATATTAACTCCCTTATATAACATTTGCATATAATCTGTATACATCCTCTTGTCTACTTTTTAAATAATTTTTCAAAGATTTATTTATTTACTTGAAAGAGTTAGGCAGAAAGAGAGAGAGAAGTCTTCCAACTGCTGGTTCACTCCCCATACGGCCGCAATAGTGGGGCTGGGCTGATATGAAGCCAGGAACTTCTTAGGGTCTCCCACACGGGTACAGGGGCCCAAGCACTTGGGCCATCTTCTACTGCTTTCCCAGGCCATGGCAGAGAGCTGGATCTGAAGTGGAGAGCAGCCAGGGCCCAAATTGGTGCCCATATGGGATGCCGGCACTGCAGGCAGCAGCTTTACCCGCTATGCCACAGCGCCAGCCTCCCTCTTATATACTTTAAGTAATCTGTACGTCACTTAAAATACCTAATAAAATGTACATTTGTGTTTTATATTAAAACTTTAATTTCTTATTTGAGAGACACATAAGAGAGAGACACCTAGACAGAGACCTCCCTTCTTCTGGTTCACTCCCCAAATGCCCACATGGCTTGGGACAGAAGATGAGGGAGAAATCAGGAGATGGAAGCTGAATCCTGGTTTCAGGAACCCAACCACTTGAGCCGTCACCACTGTGTCTCAGGGTCTACATCAGATTGAAGCTGGAAGATGTCAAATGCAAACACTGCCGTGTGGGATGCAGGTGTCCTGACTCGTGGCTAAAGCACTGGCCAAATGCCCATTCTGCTTGTAGTTTTTTTTTTTTTTTAAGATTATTTATTTTGCTTGAAAGTCGGAGTTACACAGGAGAGGAGAGGCAGAGACAGAGAAGTCTTCCATCCAATGGTTCACTCCCCAATTGGTCGCAATGGCCGGAATTGTGCTGATCCGAAGCCAGGAGCCAGGAACAACTTCTGGGTCTCCCACGTGGGTGCAGGGGCCCAAAGACTTGGGCCATCCTCTACTGCTATCCCAAGCCACAGCAGAGAGCCGGATGGGAAGTGGAGCAGCCAGGTCTCGAACCAGTGCCCATACGGGTTGCCTGTGCTTCAGGCCAGGGTGTTAACCCGCTGCGCCACAGTGCCAGCCCCTGCTTGTAGTTCTTAGACTGGATTATTTAGGGACTGACGATGAGAAAAATGTCTGTACATGCTCAGTACAATTGTAAATCTTTTTGAAATAGTTTCCATTGAGGTTGTTTGAATACATGGATTCTGAACCCCCAGATTTAGGAGGTTGATTGTAATATGAAAAAATGGCTCTTGAGATGAGTCTTAGAAGATGGGTATGAATTTATTTGCATAGTTGAACAGAGCTTCCCTAGTAATGTGCCATGAATCTTTGTAGCTGTCCTTTGAGACACTGGTGGTTGTAAAATGTTATTGTACTAAAAATATTAAAACAAGTCTTTTTACATTTCAGTAACTGTGACACTTGAAATTATACAGCTCCCTCTATAAGCTATTTTAATTATGTATTGGGAAAGAGGATTAGTGCATAATAGCTGCAGAAAAAAAGCTCTAGTGGCCATACTTCAATCCCTCTTTCTTGTTAAATCATGCAGTTACTCTCACTTTATTCACAATTTTTTTGTGAATCACCAATGAAGTCTCGAGTTCATGCATAAATTTAGTTTCACTTTGTTTTCTACATTCTTTCTATTGAAATGGAAGTTAAAATTGTTTTCATTATTGTTGTGAAATATATAAGGGAGTCTGGAAAAGAACCTAGCTAATTTAGGGTTTTTTTCTTCATTGTTACTTCTTTATAATGGGGTTTAATATACAATTTATTTTTGTACCATAAACGAGTTTGCTCATTTTTGCACTGGAAAGTCAATAGATTCACAAGATAAAAGCAGTAGTCTTAAAGTTAAAAAAACAAATTATACCACTTACTAAGAAAATGTAATGAACTTAGATTATTGAACCCAGTAAATCTTGTCTTGCCCAGCTCAAGTATTTTATTAGCATAAAAGTTAATAAGTCAGTGGCACAAGACACATCATTCTGATGCCATACCACTGAACACCTTCTTCTCAAGAAGAATGTCAACTGTAAACTCCCAAGTGATAAGCAGTTTGGTCTCTCCCCACTTCTTTTTTTTACAGATCTGTCTATAGAATCGGATTAGATCTGGAAAGCTTGTTAGGAATCAGTAAGCTGAAGGTGATGCAAAAATGCCTCTCACAAAATTGGGAAGAATTGCATGTTTTACCAGTTGGGAATTGCCAACACTCTGATTTTCCAATAAATAAATAAATCTTAAAAAAAAGCAAAGTAATAGAAGAGATACCACTTTTGTCAAGTATTAGGTAGTATTCAGATAGTATTATCCGTAAGTGCATTCATTTTAGTGAATCCAAATGACAGACTGTATTTATACCCAGACACTACATTTTCACTGCAAACTGATGAAAATGCAGAAATTAGAGAAACACTTGGAAGAAGAGTGTTAGTCACTCAAAGAGAAACCACAACTATTTAGGATAAAGTTTTCTAGATAGTAAATGAATCCTTTGAAACAAAGTTGGGTCTATGGAAATGCTATTTAAAATTACGATTCGTGATGAGGCTTCATGACAGGAGCAGCTAATACATTCAGAGCAGAAGCTGAACCTTGGAAAAGAAAGGTTAAAATGATTGACCAGTAGTACTTCTTATTTGGATAATATGAATCTTCTAATAAGTTCGAGAAAAAGCTTTAGCATTATTGACATGTTCTATGAGAACAGGTGCAATTAGATTGAAAATATCTTTTTGCACTATCAAAAGATTGGACCACAGTATACTTGACAGAGAACTGCTAGAGTTAAAAGAAGATCTCGTTCTTTTGAAGTACAATTTAAAGAGATTAAGTTATCCCTATCCTAGTTACTGCAAGAGTTTCAAATTATGTGTCATAAAATGCAAACATCAGGGCACAAAAGCAGATTGTGAATAAATGCTGTTATCTTTTTTTTATTGTGTTATCACATACATGGTAGGCATTAAATATTTCATGCTGTGTATAAGTATGGAATGCAGTACACCGACCTGTAGCATATATGAAGTTTAAGGGGAAAGTCATCGACAGTCTTTGGCAGTGATTTGATGTGCTTGCCGCGCCAGCTACTGACACAGTGTTGGACGGCACTGCTTTGTGTGGCTGCTCTTCTGCATGACTCTAGTTGCACAGATGTCCAGTTTTTCCAGATTATTTTCAGCAGTATTAAAAAGTCTGTAAGGGCCGTGTTGCTTTGTATTAGACATTTAATGCCACTTTACTTAAAACATTAACCATTTCAGAAGCACAAGTTGAAAGATCTTTTGGTGATGGAATTATTCTAGTGAATATTCATGGGAATTTCTATACCTCAATTTTTCCTAGATCTTTACTTCGGCAGTATTTATTTATTGTTTCACATTCATTGATGAAGGATATTTTGCTAGACATTAAATTTTACATTGGCAGTAATTTTCCTTGACCATTTTGAAGGTCGTTGTCTGCGTTCCAGCATATTCCTTGTCATTCTCATGTCCTCCTTTGAGGGGTAATGGATTTTTTTTTTTCCTTAGAGGTCATGTAATTCCTCTTTCTTTGGATGCTTTGAAATGTTTCCTTATATTAGAATTTCAGCACTAAAATGAAGATGTGCCAAATGTAAAATAAAAAAAAAATTTATCATAGTGTTTATAGAGCTTTTTCAACCCAAGACCTGATATTTTCTGTTTCAGAATTGTTGGTGTTTTTTAACCAGGGCTTCTGCCACACTGTCCTGTCTTCAAGATTGCTGTTAAACTTGTTGCTCCTTTTCACTGTATCAGTGTGCCTGTTACTGCCTTTGTTGTTTTTTCCCCTCTTTGCGTTTCAAGCTAGATATTTCCTTCTGATCTTTCAGTTAAATCAACTCATTAATATCTGAAATTACATTTTTGATCGTTTTCCATTTGATCATTTTTTAATGCAAACCCAGTTTTCTGTGTAAAATTTATTGCTATCTGCTTTAATTGTAGTTATTTGGATTGCATGAATATCTTTTTTTTTTTGTTTATTTTCCTGTTAAAGTCATTTGAGTCTGGGTCCTAGAATGCACAGAAGTTTGACTGAATGGTGGACAATGAGTATAAAAATGGTGGAAGCCATGGATAATGTTGCTGCCTCCAGAAAGGATTGTTCTTTTTACAGATGGAATAGGGGTGAGGGTCGGGTTAGGTATGATGAAGGCTGTCCTATTTAAGTTTTGCCGTAATTACAGAAGCATGAGCCCTGAAGGGTTCTCAGCTGAAAGATAATTTTTTTTCAAAGGTTTATTTATTTTATTTGAAAGAGTTACGGAGAGAGGAGAGACAGAGAAAGAGTTACAGAGAGAGGAGAGACAGAGAGAAATCTCCTACCTGCTGGTTCACTCCTTAAGTAGCCACAACGACCAGGGCTGGGCCAGGCTAGAGCCAGGGGCTTCATTCGGGTCGCCTATGTGGGTGCAGGGGCTGAAGGCTTGGACCATGCACCACTGCTTTCCCAGGCCATAGCAGAGAGCTGGATCGAAAGTGATGCAGCCGGGAATCAAACTGGTGCCTAACTGGGATGCCAGCATTGCAGGTGGCAGCTGAACACACTACGCCATGGCCATGACACTGGCCCTGAAAGCTTTTTCTTTGAAGACTCTGAACTCTTTCTCTCCCAACTGTGAGACTGCTGGATTTCCTGGTTAGTGTTTTTTTTTTTTCTTTTTTCTTTTTTTTTTTTTTTCTTGACAGGCAGAGTGGACAGTGAGAGAGAGAGACAGAGAGAAAGGTCTTCCTTTGCCGTTGGTTCACCCTCCAATGGCTGCCGTGGCCGGCGCGCTGCAGCCGGTGCACCGCGCTGATCCGATGGCAGGAGCCAGGTGCTTCTCCTGGTCTCCCATGGGGTGCAGGGCCCAAGCACCTGGGCCATCCTCCACTGCACTCCCTGGCCACAGCAGAGAGCTGGCCAGGAAGAGGGGCAACCAGGACAGAATCCGGCGCCCTGACTGGGACTAGAACCCGGTGTGCCGGCGCTGCAAGGCGGAGGATTAGCCTAGTGAGCCACAGTGCCGGCCCTGGTTAGTGTTTTTAGTCTTTTAGCTGCTGCTTTCTGCTTGGCATCTTAGCTTCCCTACACAGCTTAGGGGTTGGCAAATGCCTTAAAAGGAAACCTGAAGAGAATGTTGGGTTTATTACTCAGTATGATTGTGGCTCCCCAAGGCTTTTTGCATTGGGTATTCTCCAGTGCTTTCAAGCTACTGTTTTTGTCTAGTCAGGAGGGTTAGTCTGATATAGACCAATTTCAGAATCTAAAGTTGCCAATTTATATTTTCTATTATATACATGTGTTGAACTGCAGCTAATGTGCTATGTCCTCTTAACATTAAAACTAAGATAAACCCTTTGTTGAAAACAGCAAATAGAAATAACATTTGAGTTCCTTACTAAACATTATATAAATATCTGCAAGGGTAGCTGGAAGACAGTGTGTCTTCAAAAAGATATAAATTACTACCTAATATTGTACTTACATGCCAAATTATTTATAGTGGTGTATAATAATAAAGGAGAGCCAGAACTATATTTGCTATACACCACTGTCAGATCATTAAACTTGTGACAAGCTTATATGTAGGGGGAATATTCTGTCTCCATTTTGACAGATAAGGATAAAGGATGGATTAGTAAAAAACTTTAAAACTATAAAATGAGAGTCATCCACAATCTATTTAGAGATAATACAAACATTTTTGGCCTGAGAACATCTCTAGTCTTTGTCGATTAGCTACTTCAATTTCATTTATAACTCTTCTGTTTCTCTAATATCTTTTAAAATCAGTATATGCAATGCTTTTTTAAAAAAGATATATTTTATTTATTTTGAAAGACAGTTACAGAGAGAGGTAGAGACAGAAAGAGGTCTTCCATCTGCTGGTTCACTCCCCAGATGGCTGCAACAGCTGGAGCTGCACCAATCAGAAGCCGGGAGCTTCTTCCGGGTCTCCCACGTGGGTGTATAGGCCCAAGTCCTTGGGCCATCTTCTGCTGCTTTCCCAGGCCATAGCAGAGAGCTGGATTAAGAGGAGCAGCTGGCACACGAATCGGCACCTATATGGGATGCAGGCGCTTCAGACCAGGGCTTTAACCTGCTGCGCCACAGCGCCGGCCCCTAAAATTTTTTAAAATTTATACTTTGATAGGGTGATAAGATTTCAATGGTCCTGACATGAAAATCTTCTAAAATGTGTGCAGCTAACATCTTACAGTTAGTATAATGGAAGATTTTTCTCTAAAAATCAAGGTAATCCTACATAAATAATGTATTGCACTTATTTTAAAGGTTGGTGCAAATGTTTTGATTTTTTTTGTTAAGCATCTTAGTAACTGTTTTGTTTTTTATAGGCCAAACTGTTTTCAGATAGTGGTTCAGCACTTTAGTGAAGAACATTACATCTTTTACTTTGCGGGAGAAACTCCAGAGCAAGCAGAGGTAAGATAAATGTTTCCTAAACTACTATAAAGTTTACACTAACCCATGTTTGCTTACTAACTAGAATAGAAAACTGTTACATTGAAAATAAAGTGATAAAAAGGCCCAAAATCTAATCTTTTTTTTTATTTTAAAGAAAGAGAACTTTCATATGTAAGAAACATTTTTTTCCACTTAAGGTGGTATTTGGGTGAAATAACTACTTTAATATAAATTTCATTTTGGGGCTAATTAACGGCCACTCGTTGGTGTAATTACCATAAATTTAGAGACAGTATATATATCAAAGCAATGTTTTGTAATTAAAAGTGTTTAACATTCTGTTACTTTATTGGAGCACGAATAAATTGCAGTGTTCTGAGAATAGAAATGGCAGCCTAGGGAAGGTAAGAACTATTGAATTTGGGAAAAAAAAATGATTGAAAACCAGATAGTTTTTTAAAATGCTGTGCTATTTCTTTTAGGATTGGATGAAAGGTCTACAGGCATTTTGCAATTTACGGAAAAGTAGTCCAGGGGCATCTAATAAACGTCTTCGTCAGGTGAAATTTCATTTTCTTAATTTGTAATTGTCACACTATGCACTACCACTTTGCTCTTTGTATTTTTTTTTTTTTTAATTTGAGCTAGTATGAGCAACATTTTTGGGGAAGAAATTTTTATCTTCTCACACATTTTAAAGGCACACTATCACTTGCTTCAAAAACAGTAAAATCGTTAATACTTTATAAGAGAGAATGTTTGTTAAATCTTCTGGTTCTTAGTCTTTAATGCCAACTTCTGAATAAAAACGCACTGTACTTCCACTTAAAATAATAATGCCAAACTGGAAACAACAGAGACTATTCTATTGGGCAATTTCCTTCCAAAAATTGTTTTGCCTATATCTAATGGAACTAAAGGTACTTACTGGAAAGGTCATCTGATTTATAGTACTAATCCCAATAAACTTTTGGCTGTTGGTTTCTGTTTTAATTGTGTTTGAAACCTACCATGTATGCTGGCGCCGCTGCTCAATAGGCTAATCTTCCACCTAGCGGCGCCGGCACACCGGGTTCTAGTCCCGGTTGGGGCGCCGGATTCTTTCCCAGTTGCCCCTCTGCCAGGCCAGCTCTCTGCTGTGGCCCAGGAAGGCAGTGGAGGATGGCCCAAGTGCTTGGGTCCTGCACCCCATGGGAGACCAGGATAAGTACCTGGCTCCTGCCTTCGGATCAGCATGGTGCGCTGGCCGCAGCGCGCCAGCTGTGGCAACCATTGGAGGGTGAACCAATGGCAAAAGGAAGACCTTTCTCTCTGTCTCTCTCACTGTCCACTCTGCCTGTCAAAAAAAATAAAAATAAAAATAAAATAAAAGAAACCTACCATGTAACTTTTAGGTAATACGCAATCTTATTTGAAACTGTAACATGTCCTATACTTTTCATTTGTGAAAAGTTAAACTAGACTTATTTTTCCTACGTATATAAAGATGACTTTATAACCTTATTTCTTGGCTTATTTTGTACTTATATAATACACTTAGAGTAACCCCTAGATTATTGGAGTAAATTAGGCAAATTTCAACATTTGTGGGGTTTTGAGGAAAGTTTAATACAGTATGCATATATGACTTAAGTGATTCCTATTCTTCTCACAGACACTTCCAATAATTTGTGAATTTAACATGTTGTTCTACTGGGAGTGGATAAAGGTTAAAATTTGTTTAATTAAATAGTCCCTATAACCAGAGATCTGGCCCTTCTTCCAAGGATATTTAAGTATACCTATAAACAGCAAATATTTTCATAATATAATATAATGTTTTATAAACTGGGAGAAACCAGGTTGAATTTTTGCAGAGAACAAGTTGTGTCTTGGATGAAAGTTTAGCCATAAAATTACTTTTGTATCTATTATCTCCTGAGCTGCTTTTATGTGCCAAGTATTTTCTTAGATGGTGCACATATCCTGTTTCTGATCCTTGGATCAGTCTACAGTGTAGACTCTATACTCATTAGAAGGCTGATCCAGGTCTTAAACTCTTTTGCTGTGGAATTTCCTTTAACAGTGATTGAAATCTTCCAGATAAACATAACATAGCACAGGATTTTGATTCAAGTCGTGATGGTTGTTTACTGAAGAATCCTTTTCTCTATATCATTTTCTCTATATCATTGTTTTAGGATAGAAAAAGGGACATTTCACTATGCCAGCAGGAATAAGTAACAGGAATAACTTGAGAAATAAAACTGCATATTTTAAGTCAGAAAAATTATTTTAAATGACTTTATTGTGTGTCACACAAAAAGGGGGGAAAATATAAGCAAAAATCAGATTTCCTGAAAGGAAAACAAATTATTAGAAGCTTTTATAGTGATTGCTTTTGAATTTTAATGCATAATTCTTGAAATAAAGGAATAATAACTTTTTTGTATGTACTTTTGTATTTTTTAGGTCAGCAGCCTTGTTTTACATATTGAAGAGGCCCATAAACTCCCAGTAAAACACTTTACTAATCCATATTGTAACATCTATCTGAATAGTGTCCAGGTAGCAAAAACTCATGCGAGGGAAGGGCAAAACCCAGTATGGTCAGAAGAGTTTGTCTTTGAGTAAGTCTTATTTTATTGTGACATTACATAATTTTCTTTTACCACATTGCATTCATTGCATTTTCTTTTCTCTTCTGGTTCTCTGTGTATGTAAGCTGTTAAAATAGAATACCAAGTGTAGGTGTTTTATTAACACATAATTTGTTTTCAGTTGTATGTTTACCTTTATTAGTGATACACTATCCGTGCCCTTGCTTGTTCACCTATTAGTACAAAGTAGTGTAACTGAAAAGTCTAGAAACATTGACTAGTCCACACATACAAGGTGTTTACTAGGGTTTCTAGGATTTAAGTTGAATAAATTATTAATTTAGAAGTTTAAAGTTGGTGAGGAAGGTGTATAAGTTGCTTGTCTGTGTTCTTGTTTATGAAATTAAAAAAAATGTTGTAAATCTAGTTTTAAATCCAGCACACTTTTTTTTTTTTTTTAAACATAAATAGGGGGCTTGATACCAGAACTATTAAGTACTTCAAGTAGTTTAATACCAGAACATCGAACATTTTGTTAATTCTTTTTCTTTCTTCTTGTTTTAGCGATCTTCCTCCTGACATCAATAGATTTGAAATAACTCTTAGTAATAAAACAAAGAAAAGCAAAGATCCTGATATCTGTAAGTTGATACAGAAATTCTTTCTAAAGTTAAAAGGCATGCTTTAAATAGTTTTAAAGGAACTACAGCTTAAGATGGAAATAAAAAAAAGCACCAGTGTAAAATTTGAGAATTTTTCTCTGTTACATTTTAAGTACCTAAGAAAAAAAGACCAAAATGGCTAAACTACAGATACTGTGAACTTGGTCCCCTAAAAATAACTTAAGCATTCTTCCCTCCCCAGTAAATAGGAAGAATAAGAAAATGGTAACTGTGGTCATCTTTCTATCAGGTTTCTTTCCATTCCAGCTTTCAAATTTTTATATTTTTTTTACTTTCCTGTTTTAGCATAATAAAAAGTAATCTGTTTTTAAAAATTTCTTTAAACTACAGTGTGCTATTTATTGAATTCTGGTAATCAGGTGCTCCCAATTCTTTCTCTAAGCAGCACACCTCTTCCCAGCCCGCTGCTAAGGCAGTTGGCAGTGGGATTTTAGCAGCTCACATCAGGCTGAACTAGGTTAATACCTTCTTAAAACTCAGCTTAGTGAAGGAAGCGATATACATAGACCAAATACATTAAGCAAGATCAAAGCCTGAATTTTTCTCCATAAGTAATGTTTATTCTGTAATTTCGATGCTGTTTAAATGTTTAACATTTTTAAAGTCATTTCTCATGACTTTTATGATAAAATCCAACTCTCTAAGTAATGACAGAAGCAAGACCACACCCTCTGTCTGGACTGGTTTTTCCCCCTCTACCGTTTTCTTAGCTATACTTCCAGATCTTGCTACAAGTCATCTCAAGGGTTACCAATTGGGAATGGATTTCTAGCTGTCTGGGCTGAATCAGATATGATTCTTCTGAACTGCAAGAGCATTAACCACTGGTGTAGCACTTAGCACCCAGTACTAGCACACAGCTGGTAATCAGTAAATGAAGTAGCAACTCACTATCCAACTTCTGATATTCTTAACGTTCCTCTAAAAGAAAGGATTGACACTATAGAGACTGTGAGCATCAGGAAATTTTACTTGTGTGACTAAGTAAAATGTTTTCTTCTTAGTAAGCATTTGTTTTTCTTTCAAAGTATTTATGCGTTGCCAGTTAAGCCGCTTACAGAAGGGGCATGCCACCGATGAATGGTTTTTGCTCAGCTCCCATATACCGTTAAAAGGTATTGAACCAGGATCCTTGCGTGTTCGAGCACGATATTCTATGGAAAAAATCATGCCAGAGGAAGAGTACAGTGAATTTAAAGAGGTATTAAGTATTTACTGGTCTAATCACTTTTGGTGGAATATTTTTAACAGAAATATTTTAGTTAATATAATAGCTATTAAGTTAAATATTGTAATTTCATAGCTTAGTGGTATACTGATAGCCAGAGGAGGTAAAAAATATTGCAGTAGGTTAATTTTGGTCTTAAAGGACTAGAAATATGTACACTTCAAGCTCATTCTATTTATTTTAAATTTTATTGGTTTGTTTTCATTTAATGTGAAAGGCAGAGACAAACAGGGATCTTCCGTCTGCTGGTCCACTTCCCAAATCCCCACAGTAGTCATTGCTGGGCTAGGCCACAGCTGGAAACTCCATGTGGGTCCCTGGGTGTGGCTGGCAGTGACCCAAGTACTTGAGCCATCATCTGCTTCCTCCCAGGGTGTGTGTTAGCAGCAAGCTGGATTGGAAGTAGAGAAGTCAGGATATAAAGCAGCCATTCGGACATGGGATGCAGGCATCCCAAAGAATGACTTGTTTGCGATGTCAAATGTATGGCCTTATTTTTAATAAAGTATTCATTGCAACGTATTTCTAAGTGTAAAATTAGGAAAACATATTTCATGTTTCTGTGAGAATGGTAAATGCTATAAGTACTTTTAAGTAGTCTTTCTGGTGTCATTTTTAGCTTATACTGCAAAAGGAGCTTCATGTAGTCTACGCGTTATCACATGTGTGTGGACAAGACAGAACACTACTGGCTAGCATCTTGCTGAGGATTTTTCTTCATGAAAAGCTTGAATCATTGTTGTTATGTACACTAAATGACAGAGAAATAAGCATGGAAGGTATAGTATTGGTGTTAGTATGATACTTTTAAAATTAGTTACATTTCATTATCAAGCCTACATGGATTTTCTTTGAATATATTAAAATTACATCATAATGCAAAATGTTATTCAAGATAACTTAAATCAGATAGCTGTGTTTCATGCCAATCAGTTAATTTGTACTGGAGTTTTATTTTTGGAAATTAAAAATTGCAGTTGGGATATCATTTCTGATTCTTTGGTTAGTAAGGAGCTGGTATTTGACAAAGTTACAGACAGACAGAAAGAAAGGTCTTCCTTTCGTTGGTTCAACCCCCCCCCCCCCCCAAATGGCCGCTTTGGCCAGCGCTGTGCCGATCTGAAGCCAGGGGCCAGGGGCCAGGTGCTTCCTCCCGGTCTCCCATGCTGGTGCAGGGGTCACTGCCTTCCCGGGCCACAGCAGAGAGCTGAACTGGAAGAGGAGCAACTAGGACTAGAACCGGCGCCCATATGGGATGCCAACACCATAGGTGGAGGATTAACCAAGTGAGCCACGGTGCGGGCCCTGGAGCTGGTATTTCTAATGTATGTTTTAGTCATGACAGATTAGTATTGGAAACTATAAAACGTGATTTCTCTGCCTAGGCCAGTGGCCCATGAGGCTTAATTATTATTAGTTTGGTTCCTTTTTTTTTTTTTTTAATACTAATTCATTGCAAAGGAGGTTTTATCAGCTGTTTTATTTCTAGCTTCTGCAGACAGTTCCTAGGTTACTGGATACAAAATAGCTTACACATATGCCAGAATAATCCATTTATCTCCAGCACTTTGATTCAGGAACAGTCCTCATGTGTAGGATCTCCAAAAAATTATAAAGTATAGAATTATTTTCTCTTATACATGAAAAATGTAAAAATAGTATAGGTGTCAAGGATTAGATAAAACAGTGGTGCCTATTTTATACTGAAATTGTTTCTCCTAACATTATTTATGCCTTATTAAAAATTTATTGAAAAAGAATACCCATATTTTAGGCCAGTCAACTGACTACTGAAATTATCTTTTTGGGAATTAACTCAATTTTTTTGAGGACTGGGATCAGTGAGCAAGCAATCAGGCTCGTTTCATTTTATCATTAACTGGCTAACTGTTCATGTGAACATGTTAATACCCTTTGCTGTTATGATCAAATCAGGCAATCCATATGAAAGTCTTAAGAGTTTAATATAAATGCAAGATGTCTTTATAGTCAGTACCACAGTGCCGCAGGTAAAAAGTACATTTGAATGACTGTTGAGGGAAAATGAATTTATTTATCAGTGTGCCACATGAATGCAGCCCTTTGCAAATAATCTTGTAATATAAATATTTGTATAGATGAAGCCACTACCCTGTTTCGAGCCACAACCCTTGCAAGCACCTTGATGGAGCAGTACATGAAAGCCACAGCTACACAGTTTGTTCATCATGCTTTGAAAGACTCTATTTTAAAAATAATGGAAAGTAAGCAGTCTTGTGAGGTAAGAACATAGTGTTTTAAACATTTCTGGGAAAAGCATATTTCAGTAGGCAATACTTCATATAGTTAAAGGAAAATAGTGACTTTTTAAATTTATTCATCAGAATAGTTGCATCTTCTATAAATGTGCTTATAACTTTTTGGCCAAGCAAGCTTCTTAAAAACACGTATTTTATCTTGGGATTAGAAAACCTACAGCTGTGTCAGAAACTAAATGTTCTGTCATTTCTCTTAGTAATGATCCTCTGTTCACAAAGTGTGCACAACATACAGAGGGACTTCTGCTGCAAGGCTTATGCATTGCTTCCGAGCACTCGTCCTGGAAGGGTTTTTTGGGGAAAGTGAGCGAAATTGTAAGATTTTCCACAGGAGCAAATCAAAGGATCTTTTTAGGATTAATTATTAAGGCTTCAGTGTAAATTCATAAGCCATTAAGATAGAGTGGAATTGTACTTATATTCTGTCATTTTGATGGTAGAACTATAACAGAAGATAGTAAATGAGTTTAGTAGATCTGATGCAAACTTTTTAAAGTAAGGAATTACTTTTGATTATGTACACTGGGAGCTGTCAAATGCTAATTCTTTAAAATTGTCAGTTCTTACTAATAAAGTGAGGATTATTTGATATTGGAAAATAGGGATAAATGTAGAGTTGTAAGAAGTAAGAAGGTTGACACAGTCTGTATGGAGTCTCTGGTCTTTGGAAGGAGGCTAGGGCATTCATATATACTGCCTGGATGTTAATGCCTCTTAGGTGTCTGGGGTTACTGGAGAAGCTTTGAGAAAGGTTCATAATTCTGTCTAAGGTATTTGGTATGTTATTAGTTACTAAATTAAGTCTGAATCAGTTAAGGTTTTCACTTGAGTCATTTTTTTCCCTTCAAATAATTAGAATTAAATAATCACTGCTTATAAGTTGGAACGAATGGTAAAAACCCCTGTAGGAGTTTCATGAAGTACTTTAAAAGTGTTGCCTTGATTCATTTGTATTATCACTGCCAAAATGCATTTATATTGATTTATTCCTTTTCTTAGTTAAGTCCATCAAAGTTAGAAAAAAATGAAGATGTGAACACTAATTTAGCACATCTATTGAACATACTTTCAGAGCTTGTGGAGAAAATATTCATGGCTTCAGAAATACTTCCACCGTAAGTGGTGAAATTTTCATTTGACAAAAAATTCTGTACCCATGTTTTGAATAAGTCCTATTTCTGAACTATGTGAGAACTTTTCTGTGTTAATGCTTTTTAATCTTTACATGGTAAATTAAGTTTTAAGGAAAGCAGTGACTTAAACCAGACCGACCAGCATATGTGGTTTATATTGTAGCCTGGGGAATGAATAAAGAGGCTTATAGTCTCAGATCTGAGATCACAGAAAACATGTTTACTCTGTATTTGAATTCTTACTCAAGTGTACATCAGATTATCACTCAATATCTGCTTGAAGGCCTCCAGTGTTAGTGAACAGACTTGATCAGGTAGATAAAATCTTTTCCTTCACAACTTGTTCCATGTTAGTTTCTGTTTATCTTCTTCCTAGAAGTTGGACAAAAACAGTAAAAGGTCTCCCAAAATAAGTGTCAAGGAGATAGTTAAAAACTAAGTTTACCTTACTTCTTGGTAAATGTCTCTCCTTACTTTTGGCAAAATACTTTAGAAGTGGCCATTTGGATTAAAGTGTTAAATTATGTAAATCAAGCTTTGGCTGCCATGAGATCAGAATTTTTATTTGCTTTCCTTTTTGAGATGATTGTGTTATTTTGGCAGGACACTGAGATATATTTATGGGTGTTTACAGAAATCTGTTCAGCACAAGTGGCCTACAAATACTACCATGAGAACAAGAGTTGTTAGGTAAGGCTTATCAATTCATTTGTTCTATCACTGCATGTAGTGTGCACCAGTATGAGTCAAATGAATTAACTGAAAATTCTAAGGGTAACACTACAAAATCAAGGCCTTTTTCTTTCTTTTTTTTTTAATGTCAAAGTCCTGTTGAGGGGCCATCTAACTCAGAAATACTCAGCTGCCTTTTTCAAAGTTATTAGGAGACATTTAGCTACTTTTACATTTTATACAGACCTGAATGCTTGTCAGTTAAGTCTTACTGAATGAGGTTAAAAGCTAAATACAAAATCTGTAGCTTACTTCATGTAGTACCCTCTGTATACGCAGTATGCGTGACTGATTTCATAGTAAAAAGGAAGAACACTGAGTCACTTAGACATTAATTTGCTTGAAACACGACCTGTAACTGGTTAGTCTCCCGTCAGAGCCTCTAGTTCTGAAACTGTGCTTCAGTATGTTCACTGTGCAATTATTACGAACTGCTTTGGCAACTCATGGAATTTATAAAAAGACTTGATTATTATTCTTTTTCTTACTCTTCCAATAAGGAAGCAGACCTGGAGAGGGTAAATAATTTGTCTAAGATTATGTATAGGGAAAGTCAGTGGCGGAAGCAGAGCTAAAGGAGACCTTCTGAAACTCAATCCAATATCCATAACATTGTTGCAGGCTTTTGTTAAGCATACCCTAACCAGTTGAAGATAACTGGAAGCATAGTGCAAAAGTCTCAGAGAATGTAACTGTTTTCTAATGATTTATTATATGGAATATATACTGCCAGTCATGTTATCTGAGAAAACCTAGAGGAAACCACTAAAGATGCCAGTATGTACCATGAGTTTTGAAAATGTGTGTTAATCTTGCCTCCAACCTATATTCTGTCAAGGGGCTTCTAATCCTAGCAGGTAAAAATCTCCTGGTTAATTATGATATAAATATTTAAGAAGTGTAGATTTGGTTTTTCTTGGCTTTCATGATGATGGGGGGAACAGAAAACAATTATAAGCATAGTGTTTCAGCACAGTTAAGAGGTTTGCAGAATAACATACTTAAGTATCAAAATGCTTAAAGAATTATGTGATTGCCATGAATATAAATGCTGTTTGAAAAGTAACATACTCAGGTTTTTATGATATTAAAATATGTGCCACTTGGCTAACTAACTTTTTATTAGCAAATGCAGAGAATTTGGGCTATCGAATCAGAGAAGAAAGACTAACAATTATGTTAGACTCTAGAAGGAATTTTATTAAGTATGGTGGAATAATACTTCAGATGTAGTAAATCAAAGGTTGATTTTTGGAATGTTACTCAAGTTACATGCCTATAAAAGGTACTCCTGTAGTATTCCAGAAATGTTTGATTCCTAAGGATGCCGCTTCCCTAAGTATAGAATGTAATAGTAGCCTAAAATAACTGAGTATTAAATTCCCTTTTCATATAATATCTGTAGTTCTCTAAAACTTTTTTTTTTTACCTGGTATTCAGTGGTTTTGTATTCCTGCGGCTTATCTGTCCTGCGATTCTGAATCCTCGGATGTTTAATATCATCTCAGGTAATCTTTACAAGTTTTGATTAAAAGAAGCAATTTCATGTTATTTAAGATGAATAATCACTTTTTAAATGTATTGCAAATGATCAAATTCTAAGACTTGGTTTAAAACATTCTAAAGTACTCTTCCCTTTTCTTCCTCCTTCATTATTAGCTTTTGTGTAGTCTGAAACCTGACCTGGCAAGATTCAATGCATTCCATTTTTTATCTACCTCTTTGTATCCAAAAATCTTAGGATGATATTTTAAGAGTTTGTAACTTGGCTTTTCAAGGTGGCAAACTCTCTGTAATTAGCCCATGCAAAACTACTCAAGCTGGAGCTACTTGAAGATCAAAATAAAATTCCATGTACAGGTGCAGGAGTGTTGTGTGTGTATCTATAGACAATGTGATGTTCATTGGCCATTTTAAACTCCAGTAAACGTGATGTGGTATGTTTGTGACATTGAATACAATGATGAGTTACCATTAATATCTTTTATTGCTACTTAACGGGCTCAAGCATTTCATCAGCTAAGAATTAAAGATCATTTGGAGAGATGTACCTGAATGTTGGACTCTGAACCACTATTCCATAGTATTTAGTTTAGTGCCTTAAGACAGTATAATCCAAAATCAGGCAGCCAGGTCATTTCTAAACTTCAGAGTCTGTATTTAATAGCCACAATACTTTGCATTTCTATCCTATCTACATTATGTAAATGTTTATTAAATTGCATGTTTTTCTCCTCCACATAAAGGTGTCAAAAATCTCTTTGTTCTTAAGCTTTGATACCACCACCTAGTTTTTAGAGGACCCTTTTCATAAAGCTAAAGTACTAATAAATATATTGAGGTTTTCATGTGTAGCTCTGCTTTTTCTCAAAAACTTAAGAGTTACTGAATTACTAACAGCAGTAACCGGTAAATACATAATGGTTTATTTGCAAGTGCCTTTGCAGTCTGTGTCAGTAGCTGTGGCCAATTCTCCTACAGATTCACCATCTCCTATTGCTGCAAGAACACTGATATTAGTGGCCAAGTCTGTGCAGAATTTAGCAAATCTTGTGGAATTTGGAGCTAAGGTAAAAACATCTTGATACTTTATGAATCAAACTGTGATACAGAAATATAGCTTAAATAATTTTACAAAACAGTGTATACCTTATAAAGATTCTGTTTCACTTGCTATGTTTTAATATTTGGACTTTCTATTTTTAACAAATGAACTTAAAAGCTTTCATTTTTAGCCAACAGAGAAGATTATATTCTCCCTTTTAAATATAAAGACCAATGAGCAAGATTTAAAATGTAACTTTATTTCACTGTAAACATTAAAAGAAAAATGTATTCGGGAGCAGTCACTGTTACTAAGTGATCACATTATCAAGCATAATGCGGTAGACACCTTAGTTCATCCTTCTAGCAAGCCTAGTACTGGCAACAGAGCAGACCAAATCATCTCCACCTTCTGCTAAATGGGTGGGGTCTTTGTCTTCACCCCACCTTATGAGGAAGATAACCTGAAGGGCTACAGGAAGCCAGTTGCTTCCTGAAAGTTCTTTCCAACAGTGTATCTCCTGATCAAATCCTCCATGAAGATGCCGAGTATCACCTGTGAAGGCAGTCCACTTCTTGCTGATTTTGCCACACCCACACTTGCAAATCAGTTCATTGACCTTAAAAGATACAGGTATCACCATGCACTATATGGTTCCATCTCCTCAGCCTGTGTGAAAGGGGTTCTAAAATACCCACATGTGATCACATTTCAGATTGAACAATTGTTGCTTGTATGGTTGAGATCATACTGTCACCCCTTACCATATTTCGTAGGTTTGGAGCAAAATTTAAGCTTTTGCAATGTATTTGCTCCCTACAGCCTTATCAAAACTCAGTGGGTATTCTTTCTTATTTTTGGAATTGCCTATTGAGGCCCTTATGTCATGGACTTTTAAGAGTTGCATTAGTATTCCTATTTTATAGCGCATTTCTTTCAGTAGGCTTAGGATTTTGAGTATAATGAGCAGCTTACTAGTATGATTTGGCTTTAGAATTTATCTGAATCTTGTGGCAGGTTATGAATAATGTGTTTTCATTTTGAGGTTTTATCACACTATATTTTCATTCCTTATAACCTTTGCTGTATTCTAACCTGTGGCTTGGGCCCGTTTGTTTTGGTGCTGGGCAAGTAATAGCTTTTCCATTATTTTTGAATGAATGTATGTGTAAGCAGTTTGTGTCTGCCAGACTCTGTTGTGATGTGTGTTTTGAGCCAGGATTTCTCCTTCTTTGATTAAAAATAATCGAGTTCCTCAGTGTAGCTGCCCGCTTATACTAGAACATAACTCAGTGCATGATGAAATTAATTCTCAGGACCGTGGGCTCTGCTGATGGACATCAGTTTCATGAAAATCCTTGCCATGTGTATGGTTCTCACTAGAGATTGATGTTTGTTTCCTAAGTGTAAACTTTTCTTCTAGGAGCCATATATGGAAGGTGTCAATCCATTCATCAAAAGCAACAAACACCGCATGATCATGTTTTTAGATGAACTTGGGGTAGGTATATAATTGTCAAAAAAATGTGAGACCTATTTAGAAAGATTTTACACGCACAACTGAAAATCCTATTTGTCTGCCTTCTTATTATGGCTTTTGGACTACATCTGCCATGTGTTTCTGCCTGGCCTTACACTATCTTTCAAGCTTTGTCTCTATTGTGATATGCTCATGCCTATTAGCACCTTTAACTTTGCTGCTGCTTTCTGGGTTTTGAAACAACATGGATGATCCACAAATGGGAGCAGGTTACATAATGCTCGAGTGGAGAATGAGTAGCCTTTGGCTTCTCCCAAGTATGTGGACTTGGTGTTGTGCTACATTCAGTGTGAATATTTATGCCTCATTGGGGCCTGATAAGTTATAAGATAGCCCTACCTAGTTTTATAATTTCTGATTGAATGCTGTCATCTAATGAACCCTATCTTTACACTGGCTGCCAACTGATAAGGATTCTGTAGAAAAGATTGAAGCACTGAGTTATTTGATTTCCTAGTAAATTTTCTTAAATAGTAACAATTCAGTATACAAATAGAGAAAACAGCAAAGTAGTATAGGGAAGTAAACTTGGGCAAGGGTAGGAGAATTTAAGTCAGCTGTAGGCAGCAATTTGATTTTGTGGGTTAAGCCAAGCCTTGAGAAGCTGGCATCCCCTCTCAGAGCAGTGGCAGGTCCTGAATCCACCACATTGTACGTCTAGACTATGTTAGAAGGGTGGCTCCCCCCTTGGGGGAGCCCTGGATGCATTTCTGGCTGTTGCAGCCATTTCGAGAGTAAACCAGTCAATGGACAGTCTATTGCATGCATAGCTCCATACTTATCATTTGTCTCTTAATTTCTAAATTGTTATAATAGTGATTCCTAGCAAATATCAAAAATGTATTAGAAAAAAGTAGCTACTCAGTGACAAGAGTAACCGGGGGGGGGGGGGGGGTGAAAGAAGAGCTATTACTTCCAACTGTATAGAGTTTACAGATCTGAAACTTAGGTATTTTATTCAGTCTTGGGGCTGACCATTCTCCTGCCCCCTGTATACCTGTGGTCTCTAAGTCTGTGCTGCTATGGTTGGCTTACTTTGTCTGTAAACTGTCTGAAAGCAAATACTGCAGTATTTATATCTAACCCTTTCGTCATTCCAGTTGTTTTACAAAGAATGCATACAAATATTGTCACCATTAGGGAGTGAAAGGATTGGGAATTATACAAAAATACTTGTAAGTTATTTCATAAAACTAATCCAAAGATACCTCATTTCCACATAGCAATTATTTTAAATGTAGTCCACAGCTAATTTCAAAACTGTCATGACGTTCCTGCTTTTATGCTAAATGCTATACTCTTAATATAGTCTAAGAATTTTAAGCATAGTAGCATTTAATCCAGTTTAGCAGTTATTATTTCTTATGTTAGAAACTGTAAAGGTCTTTACACAAGAGACTAAATGCAGTCTTATGATTCCCTTAAAGAACGTACCTGAACTTCCAGACACTACAGAGCATTCTAGAACTGATCTATCCCGCGATTTAGCAGCATTGCACGAGATTTGTGTGGCTCACTCCGATGAACTGCGAACACTCAGCAATGAGCGTGGTGCACAGCAGGTAGGGGGTTGCCTTTATTCACACTGTTTCATTAACACTTAGGCAGAGTGTCAGCACCACACTCCCTAAGGTAACCGTTGATAAGAATCTGACTCAGAAGATCACAAAGATGATACTGCACACATCTTGCTCTGGAGTCTAATAAAACATTAGTTCTAGTGGACAAGAGTAGTGCATTCATGCACATGTACAATATAGGATATTTTTTTCTTCCAGTTTGGCCAGTTCCTGTATGTGAGAGACAGAAAATGACTTTCCAAGAGATTCTCAAAGTTGATACGTATTTCTAACTCCATGTCTAGAATAAAATCTTAGTGAACACGATCATTGCACTGGCGGCCCACTGGCAAGGATTCTTCTGTAGAAGAGGTTGAAAACACTGAGTGATTCTAAAATCCTGTTTTTCTTCTTAGATTAAGATGGTTTCAGATATTAATTCCTTACATTATTTTCAGCCAAAATGATGAATGCTAAATAAATGTCAACAAAAATATTCAGTTAAGGACTAAAGCTTTCACTAACACTTTTCAAATCTCTGACCAAGTTCTCATTTTATTTTTCTGTCTAGCATGTACTGAAAAAACTCCTGGCTATCACAGAACTGCTTCAACAAAAACAAAACCAGTATACAAAAACCAATGATGTCAGGTAGCAGCCTTCACCCCAGTGTTCTGCATGGATTCAGCATGTCAATTCACGTCAGTATAACGTCTCTTTTGCTCTTGCCAAAAAAACAGCACACCTTTCCACATTCCAGTGATGTGTGAACTATGCAAACAGAACCCAAGATGCTGCTGGTGAGTAACTGTGCCAGCAACTTGGTAAGCTACTGGTGCAGGGTATCTGCACCCTTTCCACATTTACCAACCTCTGAGCCTTGGTGTACAGACCACCATACACAAAATGCTATGACTGCATACTGAACTTGGAACATATATTTTCCGTACATCCAATTGCCAAAGTTCTGCTGTCTCTTGGAAAAGACAAGCTATGGACTCTGCTGACGAGATTTAGAGTATAACTGGATTGCAGACTGTTCTCACTGTACCTTCTTCCTGATTAGGAATATGACCATTTGACTGTTCAATGACTTTATTTGTATTTACAGTTTCCAGAGTTTGCCATTATAATCGGAACAATCTTTGCTGTATACTTTTTTAAAATACTGTGCTATTTCTCTTGCTGAAACTGTTAAAAGAAAATATATAAGAATGGATCTATTGCTCATCAGCTTTATTTTTTAAACATACCACTTATTTTGTTGGAATTGTCAAATGCTTTTGTTAAATGTTTACAACAGTAAATAGTTTGAATTCAATAAATAGTATTGGTCATTGTACTGATCAACGCATGTTATCCATTCAGCCATTTTGCAATTTACCTATTTCCTTTATGCAAAAAAAAAATCTATCATGCTTTTGTGCTACCCTTTTTTCATGCAGACAGCCTCATCAGCCATTTAACAACTGATCCATCATCTCTGAATTAGATTACTTGGATATTTAGTTTGTATAGTTTTATTTACTTCTGTATGTGTACTTTTGTGAAGTGCTTACAAGGGCTAAGTTAAAATAAAACCAAGGGATATCTTGTATACATTTACTTCTATCTAAACATAAGCATTTCATTTCTTTCTCCCTTAAGGGCAGTCCAAGTTTTAGCACTGAAGGACTACCCAGGGAGAAGAAACTTCAGAATTTTCGATACTAGGGTTGCTTTAAAAACGATTCCATGGATTCACTCTCTATATAAGGCAACAATTCCTAACCTATCATACTTGTGCAGGGGAGATGCAGCAAACAAAAAGTAGGACAGAATATCATTCACTAAAAATCAAAGTAGTTGAGGTTTTAGGAAAAGCAGTTCCCCTGTTAAATACCGAGTTTATTCCATTCCTCTGATGCATAAAATACAGGGGAAAAACATTAATAACCAATCACAAAACTACGCTCAGCATAGTGTTGGCTGTAAAGAGCAATCCTGTCGTTGGAATAGCTTCAAGCATTCCACCACATCCCTCGCCCCTTTTCCTCACAGGATGGAAAGGATATGGACTGTCAGTTATCTCCTAAGATGTTTCTGACACCAAGCAAAAAGGACCTAACTCTACTTCCAAGCATTGGTTCCCTTCCACTAATCACACCTTGGTCTTCACCCATTATCAACCATCTGATGCCTTTTATTACAGCACCCTGCTCTTTACATTTTAGAAACATTCTGTTTTAAGTTAGATGGGGAATTTTGTCACTTACCTTTGTGGGCCCTGCAGTAACTAGCTGACCATCTGACAGACTGTATTTCTTGAGTTTTCATCAGTGGGGCCGAGTGGGAGGTGTCTGGAAGGAAAAAGGAGGTGGACTGAACATCTGTTCCTTCTGGAGCCCAGCGGCACAGCTGCTTGCCTAGACTGCACTGAGGGTTTCAACCTTCAGCTTCTTTCCCTCTGCTCTCATGATCTACCCTCTCATTCCAACGTAAGAAGGAAACCAACCAACCCCTTCACCCCCAAATCCCAAATCCCAAAACACTGAAGCCTAAATCATAGAAAATGACACATGAATATGCATATAAGGTCTACCTTCAAATACCAAGATGTGATTAAAATGCTACCTACCCTCATGGAAATTGCAAGCACGGAGTCCAAGGTGTGTTTTCTTTCAGACCATTTAAGAAGATTCAGGGCAGCAAAGTTCCTTAGAATTCCTTCAAGCCAGTTTTCCAGGAAAAAAATTGTTCCCGTATACAACAGCCACAATTTGGTTCTAACTATAATAGCTACCATTTATTGAATGCTTACTAAATGCCAGCAGTATTCTAATTGATTCCATGAGTAAACTGGGAAACTAGCCCACAGAGGTTTAATGACCTACGAAGGTCACATGGTACAGCAGAGGCAGCCTGGATTCATAGGCAGATAATATATTTCACATCAACTCACTTCAATATGATTTTTACTGAGAAACCCATTCAAACATGTTCTCCAGTAACTGAAGAAAACATATCAAATGTTCATTACCTAGAATGGCCAGCTTTCAGAGCCACGTAGCAACTGAAATACATTGTGCACTTCAATAGCAATGTGGATACCAGGGCATCGGAAGTCATTTAAGTTCCTGAAGGGCAAAACACATTCCTTACCAGCTTTGAAACTCTACGTGGTTTTGGTTTCTCTGGTGCCTTTTCCAAAAAGGATGGGGTTGCCTGTCAGATTCTGTATGAAATACAGGCAAATAAACTGCGACTTCAGTTTGCCTACCAGAGAGACTAATTTGACATTAGTCATGGTAGGGCAAGAATATCCAAACCTGGTATTATTCTGGGTTTATTTTATTCTGGGTTTATTTTACACAAAGCTGCCATAAAGGGTAAACAATTTAAATAACAGAAAAGATTGGATTTTTCACAATGAACTTTTTAAATGCAGTTAAAATCCAGATATGCTTCCTATTTCTGCTGATTAGTTAGCAGTGACAAATCAACTTTAAAGGGCTAGAGGGAATCTACGAGGTCGTCATCAGTCCATTCTTCCTAAGAAGGAAAAAAAAAATTGAGATATACTTAACATTACAGCATAACCAGTATTGTTTACTAAGGTTCCTCTTTTTAAGCAAAGTCTCATTACCTATGCTGATTACAGAAGAGAAATAAATTAGGAAAATCTGAAGTAGTTCAAACTTACAGTAGTATTGGCATGGTCTCATCTGACTGCCTCAATGAGGAATCAAAGTCACAGGCCTGACCTTTAGTTATTTATCTCTTGAGTTTCCAGGTACAATTTTTAAAAGGGGGGCAAAGGAAAAAACCTTAGAGAATAAGAAATAAAGCAAAAATTGGGCATTTACGTGTATCCCTGCCCTCTTCTGTGAAAACAGGACTGATTCTTTATCAAGTAACCACTGTACTTTACTGAGAAAACCCCCTTTCCTAATGGACAATGTACATTAAAAAGCATGCAAAAAATGAAGACTTTAAAAAGCCACACTTTTGTAATGCCTGTACTTCAGAACAATAAATCTTAAGAGGAAACAGACTTGACTGTTCATCTTTGGAGTAAACATACCTCCTCCTGTTTGGCTTTCTTTGAGATATAATCATCTTCTTCATAGCCTTTTCTCTTCTTCCTGGAGTGAATCAACCATCAATAAGCAGCAATCCAGTACTGGTAATAGTAACTATTTAGAAATGAACTAGCAAGGGCATATGCATTACTGTGTATCTAGTGTAGAACAAGCATGGATACATTGACAGATACAAAGAGTTATGAATAGGAAGGCAACATTTTTCAAGTCAATCTTTCAATGCAGAACCCAGAGGGGTTCCTGCCAACCCTAGATTTCCCAGCTCCCAGCTTTGGTGCCCTGGCATCTGGGGAGTGAACCAGTGGATAGAGAGCTGTGTCTCTACATTTCAAATACAACAAGAGCAATAACAACAAAGACATTTAACAAACATTAACGATTTGATAGGCAAAAAATGACTACACACAGGAATTCAATCTGTCATATTTCAAGTAACTAGGAAAACCATGAAATAGTCCAAAATGAGCTACGATGAAAGTTAATAGTTAAAGTTTGCTCTATCTTTAATCCACATCATTCACAAATATTCTGAGTGTTTTAACAGTTAAACAAAAGGCAAAATAAATACTGGTTACTTTAGGGTGAAAAAAATCACATGAATATGTAAAAGTATAAGGCCAAAGATTCTATCAAAAAGTGTAACAGCTGTATCATATTTAAGAAGATGAATATACAGATTCTATAAAGTACTACAAATGAAAAGAATGCTGGAGAATCATTAAGAGTTCTAAATAAACACTACGGAAGAAATACAAAGAACCACTTAACATGGAAACATAGTAAACCAAGAAACACGAAATTAAATTACCATAGTGACAATACTCTTTCCACCCAGACTGACGAGTTACTAAATACTCATCACACTAAATGTTGTACAGTATGAGAATATGAATGCAAAGAAAATGAACTTTTCTGATACACACACCCCTACAGGAAAAGTTGGGGCAGGTGAACACGGATATAAAACTTAACGAATTCTTGGCAGAAATCTGTTTTTGTTTTTTTTTTTTTTCAGAGGAAACTTAGGTTTTATCCATATTCCACTAACAATGCAGTAATTACAGGAAAAGAAAAGAACATTAAAGATTAAGGAAAACAAGTATTTTGTCCTAAAGTGGTACTACTCATTAGTGTCTGGTCTATGAACTATTTCCAGTCTGCAGTGAGATCAATACTAGAGACACTGTGTGTTTAGAAATTTTTATAACAGCTTAACAGATACCTTCATGGTTGTTGAGTCTAATAAAGTTTGGGCATCTATTTCTATGCCTTTAATTTCACTTTTCTAGTAATTCATTTTTACTGTATTTTACAGAAGTAGATGTCGCTAGTCCCCCCCCCCCCCCCAAAGCCCTTCACAGACATCTGAGAAGTGCCCCGCAAGTACTCATAGATATGTGGATACAAAGCAGAAGGTAACTTGGAGGTAAACTCTAGCAATCAAAAATTCTGAATCATGGTCCTGTCAGTGACCTAGCTACCAAGGTAGCATGAACGGTCCAAAGGTCTAATCCAGGGGTTGATAAAGTTTTTTCTTTAAAGGGGCTGGGAATTATATTTTAGGCCTTGGAGGCCATAATCAATTTCTGTCACAACCACTCAACTTTTCTACCATGGCACAGTTGCTCATATGAGGGAGCATCAGGAAGTTCATGAGCAATGGAAGAATTAAATGGTAAGTTTATTTTGGTGTAGAAATTTTGAAATCCATGTACTCGTTATAATATGCATTTTCCGTGAAACTTTGGAAGAACTCCCACATGTAAATTACTAGGTATACCTTGTTCCTGCAACACTGTCTTTCTGAGGAAGGCAGGTAAGAGGTCAGATTTGGCCTGTAGGCCTAAGTAACCAACCTCTGTTCTTAGCCCATTTCAAGATCACCATGAAAATAACATGATGAGTTCTATGATACTTTTATTCATTGAAGTCCACTTTTCTTTACTTCTCACTATATTTCTTTTACCCAGGAGTAAAATTTACCACTTCAACTTTCATACTAAGTCATACTTTGCAGTTACAGCTATAACAACAAATAGTCCTTTATTTTGCACACTTGGTGTATCCTAGATACTACCCTCCTGTGATTGTACAGCTAACATGTACCTGATCTGAAGACCCTGAATGTTTCTTGCTTCTCAAACACATCCTGTAGCAGATTCATCAACTGTAGAGATCCAACTGTCATAAATGCATCTCACTCTCATTAAGTCTTCCAAACAAAACTTTACAACAATTTATGTGAGGCAAAGAGAGAGCTCTCTTCTGCTGCTTTTCACTCCCCAAATGCCCACAAGAGCTAGGACTAGGTAGGTGAGCCAAAGCTAGAGCTAGGAAGAACTTTAGAATCAGAATGTGTTCTTCAGGAAATAGAAAATGTCAGTTTCAGCATTCCTATTACCTACCCTAATCTCTAACCGCTTAAATTAAGAGATTAAGTGGATCCTTCAATTTGCAAAGCATGAAATGCAAATTCTACAGTGATTTCTACTTTTGGCTCTATCAATTCAGAAACATTTCAGA